TCCACTGCTGACTTTCCCCGGAGGCCAAGGCTCAGCAAATTTGTGTGTGTGTGCCGAAATGTTTTCCCAAATAAATGAAATTGTTCTCTGGCCGGAGAAAGTTGGGCATTGTCTAGATGGGGCTATAGTTAGAGATACAAGCCAGATTTGAGGCAGATTTCTGTGGATTACCCTAGGTGTTTGGACTTGGCCTAAGGGCATTGGATAGTTTACAATGGACTCGGGATTCGTAATTAAATTGTTTCTCTAAGGTGATTTAATTAAGTAATCTTTATCACACAAGAGATAAGAGATTTAATTTAAATTGGATACAAACTGATAAAATACTTGGGTTTCAAGTTACCTTTGTATATTTACAAGACTCTTAAATTATTTTAATAGAATAGCTTAGGTACATAAACTCTTCCACATCACATTTACACATCCAACTGCGTTCCACTCTCATATAGTATTTTGGCTACAGATTTCTCCTAAATTGCGAAATTTATATTGAAAGCAGTCAGCGGGGCAGTGAGACGGAAACGAGGGGCTGAGAGAAGTGGAGAGGAGAGGCGAGGGGAGGGGCCATAAATGGAGGAGAGGTGAGCACAGCTTGCCGTGAGGACACTTGGGAGCCGACACGGAGAAACGGGGAGAGAGAGCGAGAGGGAGCGAGCGAGCGAATGAGCGAGCAAACGAGCGAGATGACTGTTGTCGTTTGTGGGCCTACACTGCGTATACGTAATTTGCCGAGACTGTTGCCAAAGTGGCATTTGAATTTATGCCGCCACTTGAGGCAAGTGTGGCAAGCCCAGGGTGAGTGGTCCTGCATTCGTATGTGTTCCTCCACACTTACTCGCCTGCGAGTGTGTGAGAACTTTTGCTGGGAAGCAAAGAGTGCGCTTTATTTTAAATTAAATATGCAAATATTCCTCGCACCCACATCCTTCGCTGCTGCCACTTGTTTCCCTGCTTCCCCGCTTCCTTGCTTCCTTGCTGTTGTTGTTGGATTGTCTGCTGCAGACAGGCAACATAAATTATTGTAAGCAGATGAAATATTTGTGGATGAATTTGTTGCAGCTGTCGAGTGCAGCCAGCGGACATGTTCACTCGCCCTGTTTTTCCAATGCTGCTGGAATATTTTCCCACAAAAACTTTAATCTGCACTCAACGAATATTCTTTAAAAAGTTGTATAGTTTTATATAAGAAATACAGTCACCCAAAAAGCACTGATTCAATTTGAAAGCTTTTAGTTCTGGGGTACCTAATATTTTAAAGTATTTTTATTATTATTTTGACTTTAATTATTTTATTAAAATTTTTTAAAAGTGCATGCAGAGAGGGGGATGAATAAAATGGAGACCCGGGAACACACACAGGATGTCCTCGGTTGAAGATGAAGCTGGCAATTTTATCATTTTTCACTTTGGTAAACAAACACAAAAGGAGCAAGGGGGTTAAGGAAAATATTGCGGCTTTTGTTGTGGCAACCTTAATCGCCCCGCCCCACTCATATCTCCATGCCCCCCGAACCCCGCACCCATTTGCGATCGAATGTCATTCAAATTGTAATTTCTGCAGGCTCCGTCGTCGGAGAACAATCGATAAAAAAGGATAAACCAAAGAGCACAACAATGCAGGGATAACAATGGAGGAAAGGCACAAAAAGAGAGGAAACGGGGGGTTGGAAAGGGGGGTGCGGGGATTTCTGGAGAAAAGCGAGGAACAGCGAGGGCAGACAGTCAAAAGCAAACAATAAACAGCGAAATCATTCCATGCGTCCCGCTGGAAAAAGCAGGCATTGTGCAATAACAGCACGTTTCGAAATTGTAAAAACCATCGCAAGGAGAATGGAAAAACATGCATTCCTTCTGCGAAATAGCAGAAAAAAATGCATTAAGGAACTATCCTGTTTAAAAACCCTTTGGTTCTAGTAGTTTATACTTCTTTGCAAAAAAAAATCCATATCCTTTAAGCACTGTTCTGTTCGCTGGGGACATTAAATTTTCTGGCCTTAAGCAGCCCTCGGCTAATAGGCCAAGTTGGCTCGTTCTGCAAACATTTGCCCAGCACTTTGGCAGGGCTTTCCTGCCATCCTTGTGCTAATGAGCGAACAAAGGGATCTAAGAGCGGGAAAATCCCGACTATTACAGGCAGAATTCGGAATTCAGGAGGCTTTTTTCTGTTGTTTGTCAAAATTAACAGGGGAAAAGGAAACTTTTCCCATTGCCGCCCATTCATATATGGGTCAAATCCAATGCTCACCCGAGGATTTTTCACTCAGACCGGATTTAGTCCTGATCAGAAGCTATGTCGTGTACAAGGGGTTTCCACCCGATACTGGGGAAAACTACGATATATCCATGATCGTTAGCAACTTCAAGGTTGGAGGGGTGATGAGATCTACGAGTGGCAAGAGTTTTCCCACCGTCGAAGTTAAACTGTGTTTCGGTGAAGCAATGGGTAAGAAATTGTTTAAATACTTCCAGCCTACTTTTTGCTCTTTAATTCCCTTAATCATTTCGATCAGAAAAGGCGAGAATAGTTTGTCATACAACCTAATGTATTCCACCCATAACCTTAATTACATATAATTGTATATGTAGATAACTATCAGCAGGAAAGACAAAATGTAAATATGAAGTATACGCCTATTTGCCCAAATCACATGATTAATAACTAACACACTTGATTATAGTTCCATAATATTTCAGTGCACTTTACATTTGAAGCTTAGAATAAGCTTATGAAATTGAATTGCTGGGATTTATGGAATTAGAACCTCCTCTAAGCTCTTTTAATTACTTTTATTCTGAAGTCATTAGGTAACTTTTGATAAGGGAATTATCTTCGTCTCTATTTGATCCCTTTTGAGTGCTCTGGGTTTCAGTCACTTAGGGCATTTATTTACCTGCCTCCCAGACTCCTGCCTCCCCTCGTTTCGGCTTCAACTGTCAAAAGTCGTCCTCATCAGTCATTGGTGCCCTTCGCCCCCCGCAGCTTTCACTTGACATTTATCATCATCATAATACCCATCGTCTATATCATCATCATCATTGGCATCATCATCGGAATCATCATCCTTGCACGTCGCGCTTTAACCTTCAGAAGGCATTTTCATTTCCCCTTTCTCCCCTTTCTCTTTCCCTTACTCTTCTCCTTTGTTTGTCAGCTCGCCACTTTTGTGACTTTTCCCCACTTTAACCCCTTTCGCTGGCCCTTAATTAAAAACGATTAGTGATTCCTGTTCAGCCGACGGACCAAAGGTCGTGCGGTGCAGCACCATTAAATATGCAATGGAAATACTTTAATTATACAAATAACCAGGGATTAAGAATGGAAAAAGGGGAGCAAAGTTGGCCCAATGGAAAGTTACTTTTCATTGTTGGCACTTTGGACTTTTCAGGCATTTTTCTGCCATCGAGAGTATACGTATTCCTATCGCCTTGGAAAAATCAAACGGAAGTTGTTCGTTTCGCGCGAAATATGAACAAGTTTGGAATTCGAGGGGTGTGTGGCCCACGGGGCATCGGAATACGGAATACGAAAGAAATTGGTAACGAAATGAATTCGTTTTCGAATGTCAGGCACGCAAACTTTGCCTACCATCGACCTCCTCCACGAGAATTCTATTATTTGTACTTTTTTTTTCCACGGTGGCCCCAAAAGCCAAAACCACCCACTGAAAACCACAATTGGTCTGGGTTTGGTTTGCACGTTACTCGTTTTGCGGCTCAGTTTGGTCTGTAGTTTTTTCCCTGGACAAAACTAAGTTGAGTTTTCGCTTTTGGCTTAGCTGGATTTTGTGGTGCGTAGTGGGAGCCGGGCTTAAGTGCTCTGGCATTGCATTTCACCGGGGTTAACTAGCCGGCCTGCCTGACTTTTGCCCGGGTTAATTTGGGCTTACCATCGGCAGAGGTTCTAGCTTTGTGATTTCACTTGAATTCCCATATTTCCCATAAATTCATTACCATTTTAAGCAGAGCTCTCCTCGGAAATTATCCATGATGTGGGGTTGACTCTCGTAGATCCACTTTAGTGTATTAAATATGGGGAATATGGGGATTTAGATTCTTGAAACCTTAATGATAAGTTTATTATCATTTGAAATGTTTTTATGCAACCCTTTAAAATTGCCGTTTTGAGACTCCATTTCCCTTGCAAATTGCATACAATTTTTTCATGAATATTTTAACTGCAATTTCCATGGCTCCAAAACAGTTGCACTTTTTCCTTCTTGAAAGTTACTTTGCATACTAAATTCAACCACTGCGTTTCCCGTGTTTTCCTTATTCTTGGAGTTTTCCTTCTTTGTCTTTGTCGCCCACTTAACTTTTTACATGGCGAAAAGTCAAAGTTACAGCGCCAACTGGAAAACAATAATATTAAATGAAAGTTTTTCGCTGAATTGAAATTTGGGGGGTGAGTGAAGGATCCCAGGAACCACGGGGTTAAGCATTCAAGGAAATCAAAAGGGGGCTAAACAAGGGTTTTCGATTTCAGACGGCGATAAGCGACAAACAACGCATTAAATGTCGTTTCTTCTGGCTATTTTCGGATTGGCATTGGGTTAAGTCATAAAAAATTGAAACGTAATTGATTGGAAGTTTGTCGAGGGCGGAAAAGGGGGAGGAACTCACGGCATTGACGTAGTCGCCTGGCCAAATTAGTTGGCCTGTAATTTTAGACACCATCGGAAGTCGTTGAGTTCGGAGTTCAGTACTTTGACGGATGGAGAAAAGCTACGCCGACGTTGATGATGGCATTGGCAAACAGTTGACATGACGGCAAAGTTTCCACAAACTTTAGCCATTAAAGCCAATTACCAGAAAAGTTGCCTCCTAATTAAGAGAAGCCGTCATATGTTTCTCTTGCTAAAAAACACTTTTAATGAAGTGGGATTGTAAACATGATATTGTAAAACAAACAATTTAAGGTATTTAAAGAACATTTTTTAGATCTTGTTGAATATATTTTACTAGATTTTTAAAGCACTTAATAAATTAATCATCCTTTTCAGGCATCTCCTCCTTGTCGAGTTGCGGCGATCCGGAGCGTCTGCCGGAGCTGCCGCCGCTGGACGAGCAGCGCCTCCAGCGAGCTGCGTTGCATCTGCAGCAGAAGCTGATCCTGCGCGAGTGGCTGAGGGACCACCGGCTGCAGCACCACTACCAGCGACTCCTGGCCGTGGAGGTCGCCTCGCTGGAGGACGTCTACTGGCTGGAAGACTCGCGGGCCAGCAAGATCCTCGGCAAGGACTGGCAGCTGTGGTCCGGTGCCCGGCAGAACCTGCCCACATCGAAGGCCCAACTGGACGCCCTGAAGGCGCAGCTCTGGTCGACGGTGGTCAAGAGCAGCCAGCACCAGGACGCCTGGACATGGGGCGGCATGCTGGTCGTATCCGTCTCAGTCGCCGGCCTCGTCACCCTGGCTGCCATGACGCAGCCCTCGCTGGCCCCCGAGGTGAGTACATAAAAGGATTTCGTGGATAAATGGGTCACTGGATATAATATCTAAAAAGCGATTAAGAAATTACATTTTGAAAGCGGAGTAAATGTGATAAATTCCTGAGAAGTAACTAATTTCATATATTTTTGTATTGAAACCCCTGAAGGCCCGTCACTCCCTGCTGCAGTACGTCACCGGGAAGTATCTGCTGCCCGCCAACTGCAAGGTGCAGTGGGACTGGAAGGATCCGGCCAGCGTCGGCGGCACCATGTGCTTCGTGGTGCGCTTCTTCCAGCGGAATGGACAGCCCTATCCCATCTGTGATACGGACCAGTTCTTCGTCGAGGTCACCGAGGGCACCCGCAAGGTGGTCACCATCAGCGAGCTGGGCTCCTCCACCGATCCCAACAACGCCAACATCGCCAAGGTCAAGTTCACGGTCCGCACTGCGGGCCAGTACAAGATATCCGTGCTGATCGGCGCGAGTCACATCGCCGGATCGCCCTTCCTGCGATCCTTCCTCCCCGGAGCCATCGATGCCCGGCGATCGAGGTTCATCCGGCCCGCCAGCACGGTCATCTGCTGCGCCGGCGCACCCACTTTGATGCACATTGAACCTAGAGATGAGTTCGGGAACTCGTGCCTCTTTGACCAGAATCAGTCGGATGAGGCGCTGCAGGTGAAGAACTATTAATATTATTTGATATATGTATTATATTATATTATTTTATTAATATTATACATATTATATAATATTAAATATTTATTTGAGGTTTCAAAGCACTCCATATATTACAAATTTCAGATGCTTTGAATTTCCTTCTATTTTATAATATTTCTCTATTGTTTTTAGGGCTATCAAGTAGCTGTGTACGATCTGCATGGCGTTCCAGTGGAGAAGCTGCAGCATGCGATCGTCTTCGCCTACGACAGAGTCAACTCGAGGGTATCGGTGACTGCCCTCTTCCCAGAACCCACTTGTCTGAGGGCCGTGATAAGTTATAAGGATCAGCAGTTGCCCAATGGTGACTTCGACATCATTGTCTTAAGCAGTAAGCATAAGTTAATTAGTTAATAATGTAATATTATAATGCATAATCCCTTCCAGGCAGCGACACCACGTTGGTGCACAAGAACATCGCCTCGAGGAAGCACAACATCTGCTACGAGGCCAAGCTGCTGAGCATCTTCGGAGTGGCCAAGAACAAGCCGAGGAAGGTGCTCTGCTACGTGGGACCCAAACAGGTGAGTGGCCAGCTGGGGAGCCCGATGATGTTGTGTGAAATGCGAGGGCTCAGAACTCCCTGATCTTCCAGGTGACCATCAAGGAGATGATCCTCAAGTTCATCCCCAAGCGGATCGCCACCTTCCGGCTGTGTCCCTCGACCAAGTTTCACTTCCTGCCCCAGTTGGTCTCCCAGCTGCACGGCCCCGTGTTCATCATCGACGACGGAGCCCAGCCGAAGATCGAGTTGGCCTCCAAGGATCGGAACATCATTGCTGCCACCTTCACCCACTTTCTGCTGAAGAACATTGGCGGTTCGGAGACGTTCAAGGATAAGCAGGACTTCTTCTACCACGAGGTGCGCAAGTTCCACGCCAGCTACTACCACGAGAAGATGGCCCTGAAGGTGCAGCGCGAGAAGATCCTCGAAAGCAGCATGAAGGCGGCCAAGGGATTCTCCGTGTCCGACTGGTGCGGCAACTTCGAGGTCACCTTTCAGGGCGAGCAGGGCATCGATTGGGGCGGTCTGCGGCGGGAGTGGTTCGAGCTGGTCTGCAGTGCCCTCTTCGACGCTCGCGGAGGCCTCTTCTGCACCTTCCACGACAAGCACCAGGCGCTGGTCCACCCGAATCCCACGCGTCCTGCGCACCTGAAGCTGAAGCACTTCGAGTTCGCCGGCAAGATGGTGGGAAAGTGCCTCTTCGAGAGCGCTCTGGGCGGAAGCTATCGCCAGCTGGTCAGGGCCAGGTTCAGTCGCTCATTCCTGGCACAACTGATCGGTCTAAGGGTTCACTATAAGGTAGGTAGATATTAAATCATTTCAGAAGAGATTAAGTAATATTATCCTTTTTATTTACCAGTACTTTGAGCAAGATGACCCCGACTTGTATCTGTCCAAGATCAAGTACATTCTGGACACCGATCTGGATGCCACGGACACCCTGGAGCTGTACTTCGTGGAGGAGATGTACGACGCCAGCAGCGGGCAGCTGAGCAAGACCATCGAACTGATTCCCAACGGGGCCAAGACGCGAGTGACCAATGCCACCAAGAATCAGTATCTGGACTCCTTGGCCCAGCAGCGTTTGTGCAACAATGTGAAGGACGAGGTGGACAGCTTCCTGAAGGGCCTGAACTCCATCATACCGGATAATCTTCTCAGCATTTTCGATGAGAACGAACTGGAGGTGAGTTGCTAAATTAAAACACAGAGGAACCATCCAGCTTTCGCTTGCAAAAACTTAAATAATTAGCTGGAGAAACTAGCTTTGGTTTTATTAGTTAATTAAATTAAATTTCATCCCATTAAATAAATATTATCACTTGCATTCAGCTGCTGATGTGCGGCACTGGGGAGTATTCCATCAGCGACTTCAAGTCGCACCACATCGCCAACGGCAATTCGGCGGAGTTTCGACGGGTCTTGGCCTGGTTTTGGGCCGGAGTCAGCAACTTCAGCCAGACGGAGATGGCGCGGCTGCTGCAGTTCACCACGGGATGCTCGCAGCTGCCGCCCGGAGGATTCCAGGAGCTGAATCCGCAGTTCCAGATAACGGCGGCCCCGACCTTTGGCAACCTGCCCACGGCGCACACCTGGTGGGTGAACTTTTTCCACTTTTTTCACTTTTTCCACCGGAATTCATTTATTCTTTTTAATCATCCCACTCACCGAAAACGAAACTTTTTCGATTACAGCTTCAACCAGCTGTGTTTGCCGGACTACGAGAGCTACGAGCAGTTCGAGAAGTCGCTGCTGTTGGCCATCAGCGAGGGCAGCGAGGGATTCGGCATGGTCTAGATATATATTATATATATAGGATATAGGATAGTGGAGAGGGGAAAGCTAGCTGTTCCCTCGATTTTTGTCTGCTACGCTACTGTGTTCCTTTCTGTGCGCTTTAAATGTATTGCAACTAGCAACTAAGTGACCTAGTCAGTAAGCCTGCATAGTGATAAACAGCCACTAATTTCAGTCCCGGCTAGATATATTATATTAAAACCCCTCAATGGGAGATCCCTTAAGCAATAATAATCTCGGATTAGCCGGCGTAGCGAGTGTAGGTATAAATCGAGTCAAGATGCAAATTAAAACCGAATATATATCATCATCAAAAGGAATGTGATAATTGTATTATAGACTAATGCAACCTAAGCGTAATTGAAAACTTTTAAACTACCTATCGGTAAAGCAAATAAGTAGCCATTAAAACCAAAAACTACTCTAGTTAATTGTTAGTTGCGCTGTGTAAAGAAACCCAAGGGAAGCTTTATCCAAGCTGATCGAAAACCAAATGTTTGTAGCATACTTTAATACAAATCGTAGTTGTAATCGTTAAATAGTCGGAACATTCACAAAGAGCAATGTTTGTGTGCATTTCTTCTAACGAAAAAAAACCAAATGTATGGCCAATTGTGCCGCAACTCGAATACAATCCCCAATCCTTCTCCCTCGCTGTGCTCTCTTAAAAGCAATATGTGGAAGCAAATGTTGAATCGTAGTTTTTAATGTTGTTGAATCGCAAAGCAAAATCAAAGGTGTCATACAAATTAAAATTTAGTAAATGTAATGGAATTGTAGTTGTTGAGAGAACTCTAAAAAGCTTATATATCAGTCGGTCGGCGGAAGGTTGGTTTAAATGGTTAAAAATAATAAAAGTCTACTGTTTAGAACGGAAGTTTGGCATTTGGTTTTATTTAAGAAACGTATTAGTGCACTTCCCAAATGCACTTATATAATGTATACATTTTATTTTGGATAATTGTACGTGTTAATATTTATTTCTTTAGAAACCGGTGTCTTAAGTGCCGAACAACTTTCTTTCCAAGGTCCCCGGAGGTCACCTGCGGAAACCCGACTTCGGGAAATGCCAATGAACTCGGTGAGGGTTACGCAAGTGTCTGACTTAACCACTGAAAAGAGCCGGTGGAAAAGCGTAACTTCTGTGAACTGTACTTCGGTTTGGGGTCTTTTATGACAAACTATATAAAGTGGGGCCCAGTGAGAGTTGGGAGGAGCGTGAGTGACAAATTACTGGGATCCAATCAACAAATGGTAGCCGTCGAACGCGTGCTCGTCCAGTCAAGTGTGCCGCGGTGTGTGTGCGTCTGCATTTAAACAATTATTAGCAACTAATTAGAGTGTGCACAGCACGGAAGGGCCTGAGTGCGGTCGAAGGAGAAAGTGGATTTTACCTAGAAGTGCGCACAGAAACTGTCACTTTCTAGAGGGGCACGCGCGCCAAAATCCAAATCTCTCCGGCAGGGTCAAAGCAGCATCTTCGTGGGTTGTTGGGTAATAGCTTCTGGGGGGCAGAAATGAAAGCGAAATGCAAGAACCCGAAGAAAGTCCACAAAAGAAAAGTCTTTAACCCGAAGGTTAACTTTTAAAATGATTTTATGTTGGCTTTTGATCGAAATTTAAAGGGCGGGGAAAATTCGCAAAGTAAAACGATACAATTTGCACTAAACACTTTAATTCTATAATTTTATCAGACTTATTTTAAGTCTTGGATGGACTGTTCGTTTAGAAAAATTAGAAGAGGGATAAGTTATTACTTCCTCAGCAGTCTTTCGATAAGGTTTATTTTTAGGCACGATTGCTTGTTTACAGCTCAGTGTGAACCCACACGTTGAAGTTAGATAAGCTTAAATCAAGAAACTAACATCTGTTAGTACAATGAAGCTTGTATTCAGGTTTAGTCGCATTTCGCATAAGCATCGGTGGTTCAGTGGTAGAATGCTCGCCTGCCACGCGGGCGGCCCGGGTTCGATTCCCGGCCGATGCAAAAATCTTTTTTGTTTTTTTTTTTACATTTTTATTTTCAAGCGAGGCGAGCATTCTAAAAATTTTCCCAAAGTTCACGAATTACTAAATGTTAAATGCGCGAAATATGCTTATTCGTATAAAGCCAAAACTTACTGAAAATTATAACATTATGAAAAAATAACAACTTTCATATCTTGCATTCCTTTTAAGATTCGTGATTAACAACAATATGGAATAATTAAAAGGTTTTATATAGCTTTTTAATGTACACACTTACGCCTAATTCAAAAGTCCCGTTTCATTCACTAATATTTGCAAATTGGTTGTACTACTAACAAGTAGTATCAAACCTGTCAACAATAAAATATTTGCTCGGTACATTTGCACTCATTTTTTATGCCACATTTGTGGGCTTATAATTAAACTAGATCTTCAATGCACGAGCGTAAATGTCAACTGTTTCATGTAATAATGACCATTTGGGCAGCGCACTAAAAACATAAACAAGTAAAAGCTTCACGGAGACATTAAAAAAGTGAAAATCTTTTGGTCAGTGACCAAAACAGGAGCGGAATAAACTGGATGAGTGAAGAACTTTAGTGCAGTTTTAATGTATTTTATGTGGGAACTTTTTTGGTATTTTATAACTTCACATTGCATATAATAAATATTATACTATTTAAGTTTTGCAATACTTTCTTAACAGGTTCTTTTATTTGAACAGGTGTACTAAAGGTAAGGATATCTGGACTTTAAGACGTTACATAGTATTTGTTACGAGATAACCTAAGCTTGTATAGTTTTATTCAGTATCCCCCACTAATCACAACTCCGCTCCTGAGTTTTAGTGACCGCCTGGCATATATCACGTTGGTAGAGCCATTCAAGAAGGTCAGTTTTTCAAGCCGAGGCCCAGAAACCGGAAGGGCAAGGTCTTATTTGGTCTAGAACGAGCCGAGAAACTTTCCCAAAAAAGAAAACAAATACGCACATGTGTTTTTGGGGTTTTCAGAAGTTTAATAGATCTCGTTTCGGTCTCAACTAAAACTAGAATAAATAACTTAGACTCTAGGCAAGTAACTTAAGGTGGCAATTGTGGAAAAATTCTCAACAACATGGTCCGCTTAAAGCTAGTCGGTGCACTTGGAGGCGAGGGTGCACATGAGGGTCTTGGGGCAGAAGAGCAGGCTCTTGGAGCAGCTCATCTTGTGGCCCTTCATCTGGCCCTGGGCGTTCTTGTAGCACACGAAGTAGCTGGAGATGGAGGTCTGGTCCGGGATCTTGTCGCCCTCCTTGCAGTAGTACTTCCTCTTTTTGGCTGTGGTTGAGGAGGAACTGGAACTGCTGGCCAATCCGCTGCTGCTTTGGATGATAGTGGGTCTGCTGGTGGTGGTGGCCAAGTTGACCTCTGGTAGATTCACAACATACGAGTCCAGCGGATCGCTTTCTACGTTCGAGGAGATCCCCGGAGTTGGCTGCTGAGCACTTCCGTATTGCTGGAGGAGATTGGCAATGCTCTGTGCCTTCAGGGCGGCCTCCTGCCTCCTCTTCGCCTCGCTGAGCATCTTGATGGCCTCCATCTGGAGCCTCCGATTGGTGTCTATTGTGTAGCCACTGAAGGCAGGCACCACATTGCCGCACTGCGCGTAGGTGGGGGCATCGCAGATCCTGGTCTGCTTGTTGAATGCCGTGTAGGGGGGACACGAGTAGGAGAGGACCTTCCCGTCCTTCTTGCTGCACACGAAGTAGCGCGTGCAGTCCGTCTGGTTGGGCTGCCTCACTCCCGCCTGGCAGGTGATGACCTCCACGTTGCCCAGCTCATTCAGCGCCGACTGCGACTTGGTCATCAGCGGGAGTATGGACTTCTGGAACACGTCCAGGCTGATGAAGTTGCCGTTGAAGTTCACCAACTGGCCGTGCGGAGAACCGCTTGAAGTCGCCTTGAAGGGATTCAGGTTCGGACTGCTGGTGAACATGTTCATCTCCATGTTGCCATCCGAATCGCTGTAAATGCTGCTGCTCATCGTGGGCCTGGGCATATATGGATGGTGGTGATGGTGCTGCTGCTGCTGGTGGTTATAGCTCTGCTCCAGATAGCCATTCGCAGGTGCTAATTGCTGGCTCATGTCGCTGCTGTAGGTCAGTACGTGAGGAAGAGTGTTCCCATTCCCATTCGCATTTCCCGAGCCGCCCTGGTAGTTGGCGGCCTTAATCATGTCTTCGTCCATCTCCATGCTTTCGATTTTCTGCGAGTTGGGCCTTATGCTCACCCTGTCCGCCTCGATTTGGCCCGGGAACATGTCCATGGGTCGCGGCATGTTCATCGAGGGATAGCTCTCCGTGGGCTGGTACACCCTGTTCGCATTGTGCTCGCCGAGATGCGGACTCGGTGTGTAGTAGGTGGCCACCGTGGCAGCCGAGGGCTGCTGCTCGAAGGGACGCGGAGTGGTCAAGGTGTAGTCGCTGGCGAACGGGGATTGCGATCCGTACTGCGAGGAGTAACTACTGGCCGTGGTTGTGATCGAAACGGGTCTCGCCGTGGTCATGTACTCCATTCCACCGGGTTGGTTGCCGTTCACGTGCTTGTCCATGCTGGGATAAACCCCCAAGCTGTTGCCGTACGTGTCCAGCACCTCCTTCTCGCCGGAACTCGTGCTGGACAGGTGCACGGGAATCACGTTGTTGTGGATGATGGTGGTGCTGGGTTTGTTGTAGCCATTGCCCGGGGAACCGCCTCCCGAGGAGTGCTTCTTGTGCTGCATGTAGTGGGGATTCAGGGGAGGCGGCATCCCGTAGTACTGCTGGAAGGGATTCCCCTGGGGAGAGACGAAAACGGGTTGCAAAATGGGCTGGTAGTAGGCCCCATTGAATCCTGGATTGGGCAGCACCTTGGGCAAGTTCTGGGCGGCAATCATCTGCTTGGACAACTCCAGCACGGTCTTCAGAGTGTCCTCGGATATCTTGGGCTCGTGATCGCTGTACTCGTGACTCTGAGCCGGCTGATGGTGGGAGAAGGCACTCTGTTCCTGGCTCATCCCGTAATTGGGGGGCAGGGCGAACATCACCGAACCCTCTGGACGATTCACCACTATCTGGGAGTTGGCATAACCCTGACCCGTGCTGCCGTGTGCGGAATAGGGAAGGGCATTCGACAGCATTAGCTTGGTCTCCGGCTCCATGCGATGGTGGCTCAAGTGCTCCTGCAGGCGGGTCTTGTTCAAATTGGGTTCCGGTAACTTCGGCGTAGTTTTGGGTGTCTCTGTCGTACTGGAAGTGGTAGTAGCAGTGGTCTGCTCCATGGGGTTCATCATCTCATAGCGGTTTTTGATGTCGAAGTGCGCCAGAAAGGCGTTCAGCTGATCAGGTCGCATTTCCGTCTGCGGTTTATCCGTTTTCTGATAGGTCTGCTGCAGTCCATCAATCAGTTGCGATAATCTCTGCAGATGGGCCGTTAAATTGGGATCGATGGGCGATCCTGGCTTGGCTATCTCGCTGATTCCAGCCACCTGTTTCAGCTCCGTTTTCAGCTTTTCCACCTCGGTTCTGTGCTCCAGATCATTCGACTCCACCTCCTCGCGATTCTCAGGTTTCAAAGCGGCAGGAGAATCCAGCTCCACCAGCTCGCCATCGCCGCTGGAGTCGAAATTGTGACTGGAGGATATGTCCTCATCCGAGTGCGTCGGACTCTTGGCCGCATCCTCATCCTCCTCGCTGCTCAGAGTGGAATCTAAAACAATCTCCACGGTGCCATCGTCCTTGTGGCTGGAATCGCGCAACATCAAACCCGCCTCGTCCATGTCGTTGACTATCAATATGTCGGCATCCTTTTTATCCGGCGGCTGAGTGGAGCTCATCTCGCTCGGCGTGATGCACTCCCAATCCTCGCCCGGCAAAACGCAACTTCCCAGAGTGGACTCGTAGACCAAGCCCTCGTTGCACTTCACCGGAATCCACACATGCGAGTTCGAGGGCAGTTCCCGGCACTTGTAGAAGGCGTCACAGCGCGTTTTGTGGGGGCGTGTCTTTTCAGGACAAGGTTTGCCTTTGATCAATCCAGAAATTAGAGTATGAAAATAGAAGAAATTTACACATTAACTTGGGAACTCCACTTTATGTTTCACAAAATAATCTAGTGGGGTAAAAACCAATTGTTTAGCTGATTTAAGCTTTTGTTTTCTATATCCTTAAAAGTTGATAATACCATTCACTCATTTAGGCAAGACAACTTTTCCTATTTTTTAAATTTTTAATTTAGAAAAATGGTTTTAAATGAAAGTTATTTTATTTTTAATCTCAACACTTCACTTCTTAGGGGGTTCTACCTTCGGAGAAGTAAAACAATCCCGCGAATATCGCGTAAACCAGCAGCTGCCTCATCGCGTATCCTTTTAGCGTTATCCTTCCGCCCGTAGAGCTAAATCCGTAACCGTTACTTCCGATCTGCTCCGCTCAAAGCCCGCGACACGAATGACTGCAAATCCAGAGCGGCGGCACATTAAATTTTGATAATTTTCACTTTGGGCCGAGGTTCTCTGAAACTCGGACGATGTGTGAAAAAGTCCGAAAGCGAACAAACAACAAGGTGTATGGTACATTTTCTCGGTCTCTGCTCTCTCGATGCTCGCATTTAAAACGACTGCTAATAATTGTTTAAACAAATAGTTTGTGTGTTGCTGGAAAGATCGGGGAATCAAGGAAATTTCACTTTTTCTGCGTAGTTTGTTTGATTAAAAGAGTAATATTAAAAGAGACGGATATATTAAGTAACCATAAAAGAAGTAATAGAGATAAGCTAATGAATGCTTTATGACTTGATTAAAAAACGTTTATATTACAGCATTAGCTAAGAGTTTATTTCCTGTGGAGATACATTTAGTTATCCCCTTCCTCTGTCTGACAAATGAACTTAAAACTATAGCTGCATGGATAGTCGTACATTTCGCCATTGTACAGGAACACACAGTTGTAGTTATCCAATTTGGTGGGACGGTTAGCCGCCCATTTAAAGAAAGGAGCTTCCTTGCCGGAAGCCATAGATGTGAAAGCCATATTTTGACTGAGATCGGTGATTCCCAGCCAGTAGTGAGTGTCCTTTTCGAGATTCCCCTGGACAGCAGTTAGTTCCGCTTCATCCCAAATGTCGGCCAGGTGTCCTCCCATCTGGCGACAAGTTTTCGAGGCAGCAGACCAGCTCTTCTCAGAGTAGTTCTCAATGTAGAAGTACCTCGAACCAATCGGCTGGAATCCCAGGTACTTAACTTTGACTTCCAATCTCGAAAGTGCTTCCTGCAAGGCTGTCAGCTTGCCTTCCAAATCCACCTGTCTCTCCGTTAAGTTCCGCTGGTTGATCTCAAAGTGGGATTGTTTTTCCTCTAAGGCAGCCACTTGCTTTTCCATCGTGTACTGCCTCACCAGGACCTCATTTGCCTTGTTCGCATCACTGTAATTTTTTTGATCCTGTGGGATGGTCATGTGGTTCAACACCGGCGTCAATACACTGAGACAAAATCCTCCACACTGGTTGAGTGGATCCTGCAAATGGCAAACTGACTCGTTCTCTGCCAAAGCTCCATAGAAATTTAAAGAAAGAATTGCACAAAGCAACGCGATTGCGAATTTTCGCATTTTAAGTGTTTTTTTCAATGCTTCCGAGTTTACTGACTGCGGATTTGTGTGCCGCAACTTTTATATAAACATTTTATTTATTTGAGAGAAAAAGACAAAATTGAGTAAAAGGTTATGGCGATAAACAAATCGGTTGAATAATGAATATTGAGCGCCCGTTCTTATGCAGAAAAAGCTTAATTAAATTCGAAAATAATTCTTTAGTAGTGATTCGACCAAAAAGTACACAACACTTTTTTTGTGTGTTTCAAATGATAAAATTATTAATAATATATATACTAATACTTTCTGGAATAACATTTTAATCTTCTAAAAATTTTTACATATTTTTCCTGTTTCTTGTAAAATTTATGTAGATAACCCATGTAAAAAAGGTTGAAAACTTGAATAGGAGGGTGACGAGGCTAAAAGAAGAACAGGGCAAACTTTCTAGCTGGTGCTGCCAACTGGATTTTTTAGGACATTTTCGGTTGGTTGCAAACATATGGGGTGATCACCAATTCAGAACACGGTCACACTGAGAGGAAAATTGCTGCTTGCAATAACAAATAAACAATTAGTGCAGCGATTAACTACCAATAGTAATTGAAAGTAGTCAATTACGTGGACCAAAACAAATTCGGCAATAGTCCCCACATCCCACTCATTTTTTTTGGCCTAGGAACAGCGAAGAATCTAGCAAACAAACACCCATGCAGCCGCACACAGGAGACAACAAACACACACACAGGCGCGAGTTGTAGGAGCACCCCAGGAAGAAGAAGAATCTGCAGAAGGTAAGGCGCAGGTAAAAAGAGTAAGAAGCCCCCAGAAATTGCTAAAAAAGAAACTGAGCGCCCTTTGCATTGGAATTTGCAAGCGGTAAAGCTACTGCAGCAAGTGCAAGTGAGACGGGAGCCGCGACCTTTGCCTCAATTACAAACAAACAAACAAGCATACATGGCAAAGGAGTGGGAGTGGGAGAGGTAGCTACCTTCTTTTTTTGGCGTGCGTTACATGACCACGAACATATATATATATATTTACTTGTGTGGGTGACTAAGCCCAACGGTCGATAATTCAAGGAAGTTCAAGTTCCCCGCCCCAGAAAATGCATTCTTGATTTATTGACAGCTGTTGCTGATTACTTCTCTGGGTTTTCGCCTTTCCTGCCCCACGAGATAACTCCCCTTTGTTTTACAGTATTTACTGATAAACACTTGAACATGATAAGCGAAAAAAGCCGGAAAGTGCGTGTCAATTAAAGTCCATTGAAAGTCAATTCCAACCTGGCTTCAGTATTTGTTTGGCAAACAAATAAGAAGTAAGGTTGCTCACGTGTTCTCGCCAAATTAATTCAGTAAAAACCCAAGCAAAAGGGAAATCGCAACCTCTGCACAGAGAGAAAAATTTGTTTATATTTTTTATCGAAACGCTTATGTCGAAAGAATATATAACATTTATTTGTTTTATAAACAAAATGAATGCCAATATGTTTTGTTCTGTGTATACAATCAATATGCAATGTCCATTGAACAATTGAAATTGAATTCATTTACCGTTTTCTTTTTCGTGCTGTCGATGACTCACTTTGCCACATTATTATACAATCTATTGTGTGAATCGGGGTGTTTGCTATCAAAATTATGGATGACCAGCAAATCGGCGGGGAAATTTTTACAAAAAAGTACAGACAAACACATTCGCACACACCGTGAATTATGGCAAAAATTAATAGACCATAGACATGGCTTTCCAGAAATATAAGGCAAAAATATCAGTTGTAGGTCTTATTAAAAAAGTTTATGTATACCGATGTTAGCTTACTGAAATCAATTGATTTACTGAAAGTAACAAAAAACATTGTTCATAATTCAGGAACATAATAAAATGTCATTGATGGGGAATTTCAGTGTTTTTTTTCTTATCAATTCCCGTTTTTGAATTTTATTTCTGTAGTCATGCATAGTTGATTGATTCACGGTTTATTTCTGTTCTATGATTAATTTATTTTTAATAAGAGTCCGTTTACAAAATTTCTACTACTGCCTAGAGACGGACTGTAATTATAGCAACGCTAAAAGCAACAACAAATTGCAGCTCACAATTGGTTCAAATAGTTTATAACACGAAAAAAGTGAAGGCCCGATCGCCAACAATTTTGTTGCCATACTGTCGTTTACATTATATACTACACTTGGCTAAACAGCCTATATCTTATCTGCGGCTAGTCGCTTTCATAATGATATAAAGTAGAGCTGGCATTATCTCGCTGCGAAGATTAGGTCTTTAAATTCTCAAGAGTTAAATGCGCCTAAGAGGAACTGCATAACATTGTTTTTTTACCTAGAGTGTTTGTGCAACTTACAAAATACCTTGAAACTCTTTTTTTGTAAGGTTCCATAAAATTATTCTATTAATAAGCAAATATAAATATAAAATCGGTTTTTTTCTTTTGTTACCTAGACACAGTTTATTTGTCGACTGAATAGAGTATTTTTGGTTATTGATAAACCATTTACGTGTGTAGACTGTGTTGTGGACTTATCTTATCAATTCCCGAACACGCAATTTCCCGTTCGATACTTTCCACCATCAACGCCGTACTCAATACTCGCTTTCTCTTTCAGAACAACAGCTCCCTCAGTTGGTGAAGGTCACTCAGAGGGAGGAATACTACGCGGAGAAGGAGGAGGAGCAGTCGGAGCACTCACACACTCAGCCAATAAATGGCCGATGGCAATGGGCTGCCAGCGGGTGCAGCTTCCGGCGGAATGGAGGCCGGCCAGGCAGTAAATGGAGCCGGCTCCGCCAGCCCTACGCCCATCTCCAGTTCGGGGGCGGGGGCCAGCGGGAGTGCCAATCAAGGATACCATCAATTAAGCGTGACAAGTGAGCAAACAATGGGCTTAAGAAACATTCGTTCGAACAATTAATAACAACCCGAAATCCTTTCAGTCGAGGAGGCTTCGCTGCGCAACAATGGCTTTCTCAAGCCGAATCCCTACGTGGAGCTGCTGATCGATAGTAAAAGCAAGCGGAAGACGGACCTGGTTAAGAACAGCTATCTGCCCAAGTGGAACGAGGAGTTTACAGTTCTGGTGAGTAAGGAATATAAAAACCCGAAGCCATTAATTACCCTTGAACTCTTCCTTCCACAGATCACACCCAATTCCACACTCCACTTCAAAGTGCTGGATCACTCCAGTTTCCGCAAAGATGCCATGCTGGGGGAGCGGATCATAAATCTGGCACACATCCTGCAGCTCTATAATGGGCAATGCGAGTTCCTCGAACTGACCATCGACCTGTTCGTCACCAGCAAATCGGACAACCGCCAGACGAAGAGCGGCGAGCTGGTGGCCATTCTCAATGGCCTGAAACTGGACATGAGCAAGGTGCAAATTCAACAAGTGTCTGCCCAGCAGAATGGCAGTCCACCCGTCCCATCGGTTATCCCGAGCAGTGATTTAGCCCCCGGACGCAGTTGCATGATTTACGGTGGAGTGCGAGCACGAATGCGTCTTCGCTCGAGTGGTGGCAACAGTAATGGTGCAGAGAGCCGTTCGCCTCTGCCGAACGGAGGAGCGGATCATAGGAGATCGGCTCCAGCGCCGCCGGTGTGGGAGCAGCAGCAACAACCCCAGAACCAGCCGCAACCCCTGAGAATGGTTAACGGCAGTGGGGCGGCAGTCCCGCAGACAGCGCCGTATCCCCAGCAGCCGCCAGCTCCCGCACTCGCACGTCCTCTAACGCAGGTGTACGGAGCGCTTCCCGAGAACACTTCCCCAGCTGCGGTTTATTTGCCAGCGGGAGGAGGAGCGTCAGTAGCAGGACCAGGAGTTGCAGGCCCGCCTATGGAGCAGCCGGGAGTTGGGCTGCCCGTCAGCCAAAGCACAGATCCACAACTGCAAACGCAACCGGCGGACGATGAACCACTGCCGGCTGGCTGGGAAATTCGCTTGGATCAGTATGGCCGGAGATACTACGTAGATCACAACACAAGGTCCACGTACTGGGAGAAACCGACGCCATTGCCACCAGGCTGGGAGATCAGGAAAGACGGTCGGGGTAGGGTGTACTATGTGGACCACAACACGAGGAAGACCACCTGGCAGCGACCGAACAGCGAGCGCTTGATGCACTTCCAGCACTGGCAGGGGCAACGGGCACACGTAGTATCTCAGGGCAACCAGCGATACCTGTACTCACAGCAACAACAGCAGCCCACGGCGGTGACCGCCCAGGTGACGCAGGACGACGAGGATGCACTGGGACCGCTGCCAGATGGCTGGGAAAAGAAGGTAAACTCGATTGTTAACATACTGATTTGTATAGATTTAATTTAATACTTTTCTTATCGTAAACAGGTCCAGTCTGACAACAGAGTGTACTTTGTAAACCATAAGAATCGCACCACCCAGTGGGAGGATCCACGCACCCAGGGCCAGGAGGTGAGCTTGATCAACGAGGGCCCGCTTCCGCCCGGCTGGGAGATCCGCTACACGGCAGCCGGCGAGCGCTTCTTCGTGGATCACAACACGCGACGCACCACCTTCGAGGATCCTCGACCAGGAGCCCCTAAAGGAGCCAAGGGAGTGTATGGAGTTCCTCGTGCCTACGAACGCAGTTTCCGCTGGAAGCTGTCGCAGTTCCGGTACTTGTGCCAGAGCAATGCTCTTCCCTCGCACATCAAGATCACGGTGACGCGACAAACCCTGTTCGAGGACTCCTACCACCAGATCATGCGCCTGCCCGCCTACGAGCTCCGGCGTCGTCTCTACATTATATTCCGCGGCGAGGAGGGATTGGACTACGGTGGGGTGTCTCGCGAGTGGTTCTTCCTGCTATCCCACGAGGTCCTGAATCCCATGTACTGTCTGTTTGAGTACGCGAACAAGAATAACTACAGCCTGCAGATAAATCCCGCCTCGTACGTGAATCCCGATCACCTGCAGTACTTCAAGTTTATCGGTCGCTTCATTGCAATGGCCCTGTACCACGGAAGGTTTATCTACAGCGGGTTCACAATGCCTTTTTACAAGCGCATGCTGAACAAGAAGCTGACCATTAAGGACATCGAGACGATCGACCCGGAGTTCTACAACTCTCTCATCTGGGTCAAGGATAACAACATTGATGAGTGTGGCTTGGAGCTGTGGTTCAGCGTTGATTTCGAAGTGCTCGGCCAGATAATCCATCACGAGCTGAAGGAGAACGGGGAGAAAGAACGCGTGACCGAGGAAAACAAGGAGGAGTACATCACACTGATGACAGAGTGGCGAATGACACGGTGAGAATTTGTATTTATTTTAGATGTATCAAAGTTATTCAGCAGTGTCAGCCACGCATAGGAGTAATCAAGCTTTAGGCTGAGTAACAAATCCATACTAAATGTGATTACTTCCTTCATCGTTCACAGTGGCATCGAGCAGCAGACAAAGACGTTCCTGGAGGGCTTCAACGAGGTGGTGCCTTTGGAGTGGCTCAAGTATTTCGATGAGCGAGAACTCGAGCTGATCCTGTGCGGCATGCAGGACGTGGACGTGGAGGACTGGCAGCGCAACACCATTTACAGGCACTACAACCGCAATTCCAAGCAGGTCGTCTGGTTCTGGCAGGTGCGTAGACTTGTTAACATTGTTTCTATGGAACCACTAACAAGGGCAATTAAATTTGCAGTTTGTACGCGAGACGGATAACGAGAAGCGCGCTCGTTTGCTGCAGTTCGTGACGGGCACGTGTCGCGTCCCCGTCGGAGGGTTCGCCGAGCTGATGGGCTCCAACGGACCGCAGCGCTTCTGCATCGAGAAGGTGGGCAAGGAGACGTGGCTGCCGCGCTCGCACACCTGCTTCAATCGATTGGACCTGCCGCCCTACAAGAGCTATGATCAGCTGGTGGAGAAGCTGACCTTTGCCATCGAGGAGACTGAGGGCTTCTGCCAGGAATGAGTGGCAGTCGATTTGTGGTCGGTTTGTTGATTAATGTTTAATTCCAGTTGAGCGCCTGCGTTACCGTCCCCCCCTCCACCGTACCCACTGTCCCAACCCCATTCCCTTCCCATTCGACGACCACGTTGCGTTAAATAGTTACTGTTATTATTATTACATACGTATGTATTACTACTGTATACTGTAAACATAAAACACTTTTGTCTGTCTATTCCTATGTTCGCTACCACCTATTTTGAGGGTACAACTACGCCTTGATTAAGTTAGGTACCATATCAATGAAGGGTTTGTTTAAAAGTGCGAAAAATATAGAACGATATATGTATGTATTGAATATCTATTGTACAGTACTTTTTTATTTTTTATACATAGTTTATATGTTCTATTCCTTTTTAATTTTAAAGTAAGTCATTGATTTTGCTCTGTTGATAAATTTTTACCAGTACTTTTATCTGTCGATATATTTTTGTGGTCCGCAATTACTCTGTAGTTTCGACGGCTATAAATAAAAGATTTACATCTAATCCCTAAATATTTATAACTTGAAGCACTTTTGGTATAACGATTTGTTCAAGGAATAGTTGTATACAATTTCGTAGGAATCCCTCCGTTTTGGCTTACAAAAAGCTGCTCAGCAATCGCAACCAAATGTTACGTTTTTGCCATAAGATTGCACTCTGATTGCTTCTAGTTCAATTGTACAACGAGCTCCGGCTTGCATGTTTTTAACCACTATTGGTGAACTTATATTTATATTTACACGCCCCACTTGTAAATAGTTTACTCAACCAAATTCAAATTGTTAACGAACTGAGTTGGTTTACTGGCAAACTGTTTTTAACTGTTCAATTGTTTAATACGTATACACAACAAATCTAAATAGAAACTATATTTTAAATATGTATATCCACACTAACGAACACACACATGAGATATCGTGAGAACTTGACACACCGCAAAGCAAACAAATACGTTAGGGTTTTTACAGACAAACAAGAGAATACACTTAAACCAATAATAAATTCAAATAGCAATAATTGTTGTTAACAAAACTAAAGGTAGCAAAAGAGAGATCAATGGCAGCGACGCATATATTAATTACGCTACATAAATGTGCAGACTAAGACAAATCGGAGAATAAGGAGGAGCGGCGTATATAGAGTTGATTGTGTACGATTACATATTAAATATATATATTATGTATTAAATAGATTTTATTTAGTTTAATGCAATGTGTACTGTATTATATAAAATAAATGCAAAATTATTTAGTGATACACAGCCGTGTAACTTTTCACCATGCCCTGAATACTTGGGTGCTTTTGGCTGTGTCGACATGGCGGTTAGTTTTCGCTTAGTCAGCTTTTAAATCGTTGATGCGGCAATAAATGTAATTATTTGAAGCGCATTTTTGGCAAGCCGCTGCATTTTAATGCCCCGCAATTAAAAGGTATATCAAATATGTAAAAATCGCATTTCCACACTAGTCGAGTCTTGTTCTGGTCAGCCAGGGAAATAGTCAACCACAATGGGCCACTGATAACACCATCATCATCGTTATTCTCGGATGTCCAACCTACATTTTCCAGTGCTTCCTGGTGGGCGTGAGCAAAAATTTAACAAGCTTCTCCATTATTTATGGCGGTTAAATTGCAAAAGTGCAGCAGTCAAAACAAAAACCATGAAGAGAATAGGTTGAGGACCACTGATAAGTATATTTATTTTGACAACTACTAGTTTGGGATAACAAAACTGTCTTTAGTTTTTACCATCCTAATTTTTTAAATACCTAAGAGTGTTTTACTCCAAAATAAGGGTCTTTAAAAATGTTTGAGTCGTTTATTTTTTAAAGTGTTTACTCAGTAGTCCCTGCATAACACCTTCATGCTGTTTGCGGATTGGAGGGTATGTTGCTGTGGCCAGCAGGCTTCCGATCCCTTGCTCCAGGCTCCTGGCGCCTGGCACTCAATTCCTGGTTGGCGGCGGCCCCCAGTTCCGACGTGTGTATTGCTTCGTAATTACGCCGCAAATGGGCGGGGTCATGGGTCGGCGGAGGCAGCACCTTTCGGCGCCCACCTGGGATCCCGAGTCCGTGGTAGGTGCAACCAATTTTCACTTTCATCCATGATTTATGTCTTCACGACCCGTGTTGCCTTCCCAATGGATGCAGTTTTAAAGTTAACAAAGGTGGAAGCTTGGGCTGAATATAATTGCTGAATGGAACTACTTATATTCAAATGGATTTAAAAAGCAATATATTGCTTGAACAGCGTTCAAAATAAACGATCGATTTGGCGTTGCCACCTTATGTTATTCGATTGTCTAGTGCTGCCATTTTTATTTTCATGCCATTCACATTTCGACGCATTTGTTGTCATTGGCTTGTTTTTGTTGTGCGCTAGAAAATTTAAAAAATAGTAAATAATAACAATTAACGTTTTAAAACTATCAGATGAGTAACAGGGCGAAATCGCCCGATAGCCGGTAAGTTATGAAACAAAGATAAGAAGATTAACCTACTTATATATAACTGAAAATAGATCGGCAGGATTTCTTACTCCATTGCGGTCCAAAGAGTTGCTGGAAAGAGAGAGATCCAAAATATTTTCCCCCAAGAGAGGGTTATTAACCCCCCAAAACATCCAAACCCCCAAAAACCCTCAACTGAGGTAAGTTACTTACGTTAAAATGTTTCGATTCTGATCATAAAAACTCTAAATGCCCCAGCGTCCCATCTATTATGATTACCGATGCTGAGCTGGGTTTGGAACGTCCGAAGGAATTGGTACAACGTTTGGACAGGTTCCTAAGTCGATCGGCCTCAGTCTCTAGGCTTCCAGCAAAAAATGGCCATTTGACATCCCAAAATAGGCAGCGAACATGGGAGAGACCAAAAACATCCGAGTTACGGTAAGCTGAAATAATATTTTAATAAACTTCTATTAGTGATATATATTTTTTTCAGCATAAAAGTAATTCCTGCATCGGAACCGCGCCATTTTCGTACCAAGGAACACACATCACGATCTCGAGGAACTTCTGCCACAAAAAAACTTTCCTATAACAGTCAGAATTGCCAGGATCTGCCTGAAACTCCCGATAAACGGTGTGTAGATAATAAGTTGTAAAGGAAACGGCATACAAATTATTAAAATAGATTGAAATATAAAATTAACTTCGCATTTTACCAGCTTGACATTCATACCTTCCTCGGAACCCATCCGGCCGAAGGTGATCCTCGAAAGGGAAAAGCAGGAAGCTTTAAAGAGTCGCTTGGTATCAGCATCGATTGACCGCCTGAAAACAAAGCCACCAACGACCAGTTTCACAACGAGCAAGCAGCTGGTGCCCTCGATTGGTTTTTCGTACCCCAAGGATCCACAGAGCCTGCACTCTTCCAGCAAAGCAACCAAGCTGACCAACTCAAAGCGCAAGTTGGATTTTCACACCGAGCTGGGGAAGGACTCGTTGCGGCAAAAGCTAGAGAGGATTTCAAAAGAATGGCAGAAAAGAACTGAGTACCAGTTACGTCAGTTTATCTCGGATTTCATGAATCAGGTCGTGTGCTATTTGCCCTTTCATGGAGTAACGTTCTCGCATCTTAGCAGGGATTGCTATGTGCTGCAAATAATGGAGGCTCTGCAACAGCTCCAGTATTCAAAAAGGTGAATACAGGCTGGCTGCAAACGCCAAACACCCAACCAGCCGTCGACCATGTGCTGGAAATACTCCGCTTCTTGTTGGATGTCATTGAAAATCGAAAAGAGGAGGCCATTTGTATGATTCCTATTGTTTCAGAAGGAACGGAATGGCTAAAGCAGATGCAGGGGTGCACAAAATTTGTGGAACAAAAGATGGAAGAGCTCACAGTAGCGAATGGTACCCCTAATGATCTCACGAGGCTGCAAGGAAAATTGGATAACAACCGACAAGTGGATCTGAAATTAGCAATTACGGTAGCCAATAAAGAAGTGGAAAAACTTGCAACATGGGCCAGGAATCCGGACCACACCAGATCTCGAGATGAACTGCAAGAGCGTTACCATGAACAAGAGCTGAAAAGTTTGCGACTTCAACTTTTTGGCGAGCTTGTGTGTCTTGCCAACCTGAAGTTAAGTCGCTGTTATAACGGAGGAAAGGATAGCATCAAAGCTTTTAATGACCAAATACAGGATTTGGCGGAGTGCTCACGAGTATTCAGAAATAGTAAGCCAATATCCCAATTACATTTAAACCTGAATCATACGAAGGCGGATATCCAAGAGCGTATGGAGAAACTACGATGTATGCTTGATGAGAATAGCAATAATCTTCGCCAGTTAACAGCGAAACCCCAAGGAAACCTTTAGGCCAACTAAGCCACTTTCCTCATTAAATCTCAAAAGGCTCGAGTTAATTTAAGCAAATATTTGCGTGTTACACAAGTTACACACAGAGCTTCTGGCTTAGTAATTCCTTCCTGAATTTCACAGATTTATTTAATTGAATTTATCAACTGGAAGCCTCGGCCTGGATTTAAGTTTGTGTAATTGACATTTGAATGAGTCATTGGCAGCTTGGCTACACTCACTCAAAGGAAATAGCTGCAAAGTTAAGCCGCTTAATTTCAAACCACTTAAATATTTGCATTTAAAGAATTTGTGAAATGTATGTATTATTGTAGTTTTTCTTTTTACATGCTTGTACATACCTACCTAACAAATTATATTTTCGAAAAGGAAATAACATATATAATAATAGTCAGGTTTAAAGTTCTGTAACTGTAAAAGATGCCACTTTAAAGGCATTGGACCCGAAAATAAATTAAAGGACAGTATGTAAATAACAGCAGTAGAGTAGCTGCTTAACATAATGTTGTTTTGCTGTTACTGAGAAGTGAAAGACTTGTGGATTGGCATTAATTTAGAGGTCCTGCCGCAAGGACGTCCCATAACGAGGGGGAGTGGGTGGTCGGCCGGCTATATGCATGTGCTGGGGTTAGATTTATAATGCGTTTGTGTTTGTGCCCCAGAGTGGAACTAATAATCTTATTACTCAACTGGAAGAGATGCAAGCGAACGTCAGTCCCGAGCACAACTTGGAAACTATAACCGCACCGCACCCACAAACAGAGCTGTGCAATTAAACAGTGAACTGCATAAATTATTTCTCTGCAACAAAATGTTTAAAGCCCGCCTGCAAATCCCGGCAGCCGAGTGCGAGAGCGCAGGCAAGTGTAATAAAATACATGAATTAGTGTAATGGAAATGCGAATTCCTAGAACAAACAATGCCAAAATTTTGAATGCAAATTCCACAGCCAAAAACAACACAACAACTAGAATTTTGCGCAAATTAAACAATAACAACACGCACGAACTGAGGCAAAAAGCACACACCTCTATCGTATAGTGCAGAAATGCGTACGGATGCTAAAGAAAATGCGGTCCAAATGCCAAGATTATGCCATATAGTAGTTAGTTCAGGCCCGGCTTGGAAATAGTTATCTGCTCTACATCTGCCCGTGTGTCATAACTTGCTTTCCAACTTCGTAGCCAAAAATACCGAGAGCACCTTTAAAAGTTGCCTGAAACTCAGGCCAAAACAATTACGGTCTGTGGTGGAAGGTGGCTTTTGGTGGGTGGTTGATGGCAGATGGGTGGCTGGATGGTTCGGTGGTTGGTAGGGCGGCTGTCTTGTACATTATTTTCCTTCATAAAACAAACACTCACCTCGGCAGCCACTCACTCACAAAAGAACAGCATCCGACTGACGGCAGAAGCATCACAGCATCACTGGAGTGAAATAATCGCATATCGTAAACTTTGACTTCGAGCTAATGAAGAATTGCGGAGCCCAGAAAAGCTGCAATTGAGTTAATTAGTCGAGCAGGGAACTTCATGCGAATGGAAAGTGTCATGACGCTCACACAGTGGAGCCTCCAAGGGGGAAGGGGAGCTTGTTTCAAGGTATTTATATTTGTATTGCCTCTATGTCCTACTTAAGCAAATTGGATTTTATTCAAGGTAGTTGTAGTACAGATGTAAGTTACCTGCTTTCCTTCAGCCCAACTTTTTGCATCGTCCTACGAATGGAGTTACTCAATTGCTAATGAAAAGTTTGCAGATCTTAAGTAAGAAATGAACCTAAATTTATAAATTTTTTAGTTGGTTCCAACTTGTAAATTGCAGCACTTATACATTTTTAATACTAGATATTATTATTGGCCTTTAAAACAACAAGTAAAACTTAAAAGTAACTTGCAATCCTTACGTTGCAATTAGCGATTCCCCACTGTACCTTTTCCTGTTTTAATACTGAAACTTTCGAACTCCTTCGATTGTCAAGCAAACAAAAGAAATTCGCTCGGCAATATAGGGAAAATGCTAGCGCCAATTTCGCTGGGCGAAAGAAGAATCGCCGAAAATCAAAAGGCACTATTTCTTCGGCATCCTTTGCCTTTCTCCCAGGCACTGATGGAAAATGGTGAGTGTTGTCGTTGTTTAATTTCAGACCGGTCCATCAAGGGGGAATACCTCGCTTTAAGTTGCCGGGAGCAGGCTTTAATTTGAAAATCGGCCAGCGGAAGCGAATGAAATTTGTATGCGGAGCGGTGCAAAGCCACTGGATGACTCGCTGACTGAACCGTTTTCTATGTGTCCTCCGGTTTAGCTGCCACTTCTAGCGAAAAGGAAAAAATGTCAACTGCAGCGTGACCAAGTCCGCGTCCGCGTCCTCGTCCGCGTCCGCCAGACCAGCCGATGTCGAGTCATGCGATTGCAATATTTATGCAGTTTGTGCAGTGTTCGCTATATTTGACAGTTGCTCTTCCGCTCGCTCGCAGGACACTGGGGCCATATCCTTCGAACGGGCATTACCGTAATGAGCCCAACTGCACAGGAGAACCATTTAGAAACTAAGCCAATTTGTGCCCATTACCTACCGAAAGCTGTTTCCAAGAAAGTTAGTCCAAGAAAAGTAGCATAGAACTTTTCCCAAAACTTATTCCTGGAAAAATTATAAATTTGCTACCAGCATATATTTAAAAAACATTTTATTTTAAATACACATGGCCATCACTATTAATTTATTTTTATCTCTACCAGTTTCCATGCCCCAAGTTCATTTCATTGACCATTTAACCTCCTTGGCAGTGCATTAAGGCTTCGTTGTGGTAAGCATAATTGTTATTACTCAATTTTTTCTGCGCATTTCAGCGGTTTTCGGCTCTAGGAAGTTGCTCGCTTAGTTGCCCGTGCAACAAGAACGAAACGAACGGGGAATCCTGAGGGGAGAGGAGAAGTGGAGAGTGGAGAGGGGGGAGTGGGGATTGCCTGCCAGGACGATGCTGCAGCAGGTGGCGCGTGCGTTGCTTGAACGGCAATTGCATTATCAGTAAATTATATCTGCGGCGGGCTGCCCCCCATTTGCCGGCTTTTCCCAGCGCCGACATGTTGGCCATGTTTACGGGTTGCCTGCGGCCATGTTTGCTCCTGCTCCTCCTCCGGCTCCTGCTCCTCCTCCGGCTCTTCGTGTCCTGCGTGTGCCCATTGTTGGAGAGCCGGATCCGGGTCTGCTGTTGCCGCTTGTTTGTGCACCATTTTCGGCGCTTTCCTGCTGATTTATGCAAAACTGTGGCATTTTTCAATTGCATTTTACACTCGTCCTGCAAGTTTCGGCACCAGCTCCGACCGGATCCTGCCGGCTCCGTGCTCCGGGCCTCAGGACTCCGGGGTCCTGTTTCCTTTCGCTTGTTTGTGTTGCACAATTTTCACACATTTGTGCAACTTTGCCACCGAAATGCGCAACACATTGCCCCCGTCGCATTGTGGCCCTTCCATCTGGAGAGCAGCATCTTCACAGGACCCTCCTGCCACGCCCCCCTTGCCGCAGACGCCCCTTCCTCGCAGCCAGCTGCATTTTATTGCCAGGAATGGGAGTGTATGTGTGAGAGTGTGTGTTAGGGATCCGTGTATCCACGATATCCACGCTCGGTTTTGCGCATTTAATGCCAAGTTATAACTTTCACGTGGGTTGCTTTAGTAGTTTTTGCCCAGATGCCCGTGCCCCCAAAGTCGCCCTCTTGAGTTACGTTGCCCCATAAAAATCTCACGGCGGGGCGTAAAGTGTCACTTATGCATAGAAGATTTGCGATGCATTTTTCAATGTTTAATAAACATAATTTCAGTGCTGTTTATCATGTGACAGCACATAAAGGCTGCTGCGTTTACAACCATTTGTTTAAGGGGCCCTAACCACGTTGATTGTTATGGAAAACGGATTGGAAATGATATGGTTATCTAAAAAATATATAAACAAAAATATTAGCAGATTAAATTGGAGTTGTGAAGAATGCGTGATCAATTTCTCGTTTGATTCATCAGTTTCATTTCTTTGAACCACCCTCGCCAGCAAATAAACTCTGATTTCGAGGGATCAATTTTCCAGCTAATTGCCAAAATAAGCAAAATTATGTGACGGCCCATGAAAGCACCCCCTATATTTTCCATTCGACTGCAAACGCAACGCCAATTGAAATTATGCACTTTGACAGGGAGCATTTAGTGTTAATCATACGCACTGTTGCCCGTTTGCTAATACAGTGTTCGCGAGCGAGTGCACATGGAAAGCGGACTGCACTCGCTGGACATTTTTCCCTCGACTACCCACTCTGAATAATTAAATATATTCGGGTTCCGGATGAGAGGGGAAATCCGATTTAGGTGGAAATTTCAGCAAACAAATTTATTGGCGCATAATTCAAGCCGGCGATGATGCCGCTGACGATGATGCATGGCGGGGCAGGAAGCGGTCCGAGATATGAATGGATGCAACTGGCAATTTATGGCAGCTAAGTGGGTGGCGGTGGGTGGTTCCTCGGGGTGGGTGGTTCCTCGGTTGTGGCCAAGGCCGTTGCAGTTGCCGTTGCCGCTGCCAAAAGCAGCTGGCAAAAGAAAACGACAGTCGCAGCCATCGTCATGGCGGAGCGGAAACGGAAATAGAAATGCGCAAATGCAATTGTCACACACACACACACAGAGAGACACACAAGCACACACAAGCAGCGGCGGGGTGAAATTTTAATGGAAAATTGGTGTACTCGTCGTGGCAATAAATGAAGCTCGCATTTCTATACGCTCGGCTAATAAAAGGCCAGCCCGACGGAATGACAGCCAACAAGGGACCACCGACCGACCGAACGGACAACAGGCCCGAAAACACTGAAGGGGCAGGCTCCTGAACCCCAAAGCACCCACTCCTCCTTCACCCTACACCCACACTCCCTTCATCCCTTCCTCTGACTCTGAGTGATGGGCACTACCAACAAGGATTTTTCGGTAGGGGCGTTAAGCCTCGCCTCGCCCCGCCCTGCTATTGATGTCCAGGTACGCAAATCAATTTGTTAAGTCGCTCCCCCAGCAAGTGGGTGGTGAATATCCTTCAAAGGGGCACCTCCAGGCTGACCCTCTTCGCCGCTTTATCCTTGTGCCTACCGCTTAATCTTTCAATTTGCATATTACATAATCGACTGAATGGGCGGGCCAAGGTGCTGGAGTGTCATGTCACTTGGAGAAATAAAGACGTACTAATGCTTTTGAACTCTAAAAATACTCAATACTTCTTTAGAAACGCTTTAGCTAAAAAGGTTGTATTTACAATGAATATTTGCTAAATTTAATTTATTTATTGCATCGTACTGTTTTTAGATTCTGTTAAATTGAAAAGGATTTATTGCTTTTATTAATATAATCTTTGTTATTTCTCCCTCTGCAATGACAGATATGACCTGAGCAGCGAGGCAATGCTTTATGGTCACTTGAACGCAAATCGCACTGCCAGGGGGCTCGAAGAGGACTCCACAGGAGCAATTCGAAGGGGAAGGGGATCCGGGGGATGAAAGAGAGGTGGCCGCGGGCAAACACTTGACGTGCGCTTATGCGGCACTGAGTTGCGCATACGCCGTGTGGGCCGAACCGCTTATTGAATATGCTGATGCAGGTGGAGCTATATCTATAGCCATAGCCATAGCCATAGCCAAAGCCATAGCCATGGTCGGGGCGGAAGAGGGCTCCATGTTGATATATGTCACACAGGCTGGCAAAATAAACTGCACCAAAGGGGGCGCAGCTGTGTGTGTGTGTGTGGGCGTGGCACGACCCACTTGCTGGCCATCGATGATAGGCGTTGATACAGTTGCTGTAACAGGATTAGCTCCGGATTTGGCTTAGGCACGGGCTCCATGTTTGCCCCGCAACTGATGGATGGCAACGGGGATGGCAATTGGGTGAAAGGGAGTGGAATTCCGGGTTCGGGGAGCAGGGAACAGGGAGCTAGACTCCAAACATTATGCAAGTCAAATCCGTAACGAGAGCTGCAAGTTAATGGGTCGACCTCGATGAAATAGCTCAACTGCATTGCCGGCCACTGCGCCAGTCAAATATTATTCGTTGAAGCGCCCAAATAAAATGCAATTATTGTCCATCAATCAAATGGCCAGCTGAGTGTGTTTGTGGGCCCTTAATTGGTTTGGCCGGGCCTGTCTGCTAACTATTGGCACTGCAAATGGAAACTCTCTTAGCCGGATTATTGAGCCTACGAAAAAGATTGCCATCTAAATTCAACTAAAGGCAGCAGATTGCTTGCGAAACTCGACAGAAGGGAAAATGTAATTTTTCCCTTTGAGGGAAATTGATTTTCGAAACTGATAAACATTTTTATTTAAGCTTGCCTCCTTCCTTACTTTTTATTCCGGGCCAGAACCCTCAATTAACAACTTTTAGTCAAATGGAAGTGGAAAGGTAACCCCAATTAAAAACAAGACAAGACAAATAGCAGGAAAGGCGGGCGGTGGCCGAAGGAATTGAAAGTTTTGCCGCATAACAATTAAGCTTGTTGTGCAACACACAAATATTGAATGTCAAACAATGGCAGTTGTTTGCACTGAATGGAATATTCCGACTGTAACCGAGTCCTCTATAATTAGAGCGGGACGGCAGATGCGTTGAAGTCAGGTGAGTTGGAAGGACCTTGACTGAGGAGCGGAACGCTAGAGGAGGCAGGGGTGGGCGGAAACGATGGATTGGAAGTGTAAGCGCAAACGTAAGCATAAAAACAATTAAAACTTTTGCCAGAGCCAAAGGCACAACTTGCCAATGGTGCACTGAAAAAAAATCCAAGAGTAAAATATACAGAAACTCTATTAAAAACCTAAGAATTAGGCAGACCAAAAATAGTTTAAACAAGTATTTTTATTTTATTTCCTGAATACACAATATACAAACCAAACTTAGACTAATATTTTATACAAACTTACTAAATTTTATAATTTTTTTTATTGCTCTGCACACCTTCTATCTTCCCCCTGTAATTAGTGTCCTTAAGTGGCTATAAAAGCGGAGTCGCACATTGCTCCTGACAATCGCCCGGAGCAGCTGACCACTCGACTTGCGGAAGGACCCATCGATAGTATCCACTTGAGTTCATCGCAGGAATGATTGACGGCGGGGAGCCTGCCATCGCCGGCCACTTCTACCGCATCCCCCGCCTCTCGGGACGGATTGTGGGCCTCTGGCCGCAGAGGATCAATGGAAACAAAGGTGGTCGTCCTTGGCACGCCCACCTGCTCTTCGGGTTCGCCTTCGCCGTGGTGCTGATGGGGGCGGTGGGCGAGGTGAGCTACGGCTGTGTGCACCTGGACAACCTGGTGGTGGCCCTCGAGGCCTTCTGCCCCGGAACCACCAAGGCGGTGTGCGTGCTCAAGCTGTGGGTCTTCTTCCGCTCCAACAGAAAGTGGGCGGAGCTGGTCCAGCGCCTGCGGCTGATGCTCTGGCAGGCGCGGCGGGAGGAGGGCCAGCGGATGCTGGTCCAGCTGGCCACCACCGCCAACCGGTGGAGCCTGCTGCTCCTCAGCTCCGGCACGATGACCAACACCGCCTTCAACCTGCAGCCGCTGATTATGGGTCTGTATCGCTGGCTCGTCGAGCTGCCGGGCCAGGTGGAGCTGCCCTTTAACATCATGTGAGTGAATCTGATTAGGGTGGACCTTTTCAAATGTTCCCTGGCTAATTGAACTGTTCAATACAGTTAATTGCTTAAATGGGTTAGGAACTCCAAGCCTTAAAATTAAATAAAATTCTATTAGTGGGGGAATGCCGTAACCTTTCAGATAACTGAAGTTTTTAAGAGCATATTTTTAATTTATTATTTAAAAACAAGAAAGGAAGCTAGCTTCGGCAAGCCGCAGCTTATATACCCATGCAGTCATCAAATATGTCGAACAAAACGAATAAAAGCTAGACAACATCGAAGTTAAGACGATTTTTCTATTCATTTTCCATATTTTCGACTATAGATCATATGGGAGCTATACGATATAGTTGTCCGATTTTGATCAAATTTAATTCGTAATTCAAGAGTCGTAAGAAAACTCTATATTCCAAAAATCATACTTGTCTGATGAAAAACAACGATGTTATAATTTTATTTCCATTATTTCTATATAGATTTTTCGATCTTTCCTATGGTAGCTATAAGATATAGATGACCGATTTTTATGAAACTTTTTTTCAAATATAAACGTTGTTAAAAAACTTGATATTCAAAAAATCATGCTCGTGGGATAAAAAACAACGATGTTATCAATTTATTTCCATTAATTCTATATATAATTTTCGATCTCTCCTATGGCAGCTATATGATAGAGTTATCCGATTTTGATCAAATTTAATCCGAAATTCAATAACAGTTAGAAAACGCTATCTTGAAGAATTCAAGTCGATCTGATCAAAAACAACGGAGTAAGAATTTTTAATTTCATTCTCTTGTATGGGAGCTATCCGATATAGTCGCCCGATCCGGCTCGTTCCGACATATATACTGCGTGCAACAACTACACAACTTTTGGGAAAGTTTCAGCGAGATAGCTTTAAAACTGAGAGACTAGTTTAGGCAGAAACGGACAGACGGACAGACGGACAGACGGACAGACGGACAGACGGACAGACGTACAGACGTATTCCGATTCTACTCGTGATGCTGATCAAGAATATATATACTTTATGGGGTCTGAGGTGTCTCCTTCACTGCGTTGCAAACTTCTGGCCAAAATTATAATACCCTTTGCTCTGCAAGGGTATAAAAAACCCAATGTTAGTTGTATTATTTTGCGTTTGAAAACCTTCAATGGATAAACCTTAATGGATATCAATTGCTACTTCCAACCACACTTAAGTTCTGTCCATTGAATATTGTTCCTAACTACAATGCTTTCCGAAATCCTTAATGGGAAACAGCCTGCCTTCGTTCGCCGTGCAGCCAGGACTCTTCCCGTTCACCTACATGATGCTGACCGCTTCCGGGGCATGCACCGTGTTCGCCTTCAGCTTCGTGGACGGCTTCTTCCTCTGCTCGTGCCTCTACATCTGCGGCGTCTTTCGGCTGGTGCAGCAGGACATTCGCAGGATATTCGCCGATTTGCATGGCGGTAAGTGGCAGCTGCTGCTTCTGGAGCAAGACGACAATGCCCATTGCCTTCTCCTGGCCTTCACCAACCCCCTTCCACCCATTCTCCCCCAGATTCAGTAGATACCTTCACGGAGGCCATGAACGCGGAGGTGCGGGAAAAACTGGCCAAAGTCGTCGAGCGGCACAATGCGATTATCGATTTCTGCACGGACCTAACACGCCAGTTCACCGTTATCGTTTTAATGCATTTCCTGTCCGCCGCTTTCGTCCTGTGCTCCACCATCCTGGACATCATGTTGGTAAGCCCTTTGCCAGTGGCGTTTTAGGACCAGATTCCTAAAGGGGAATTGAATAATTTATGAACTACATAGTTTCATTTAGAGAACTCTTCTTTATTAACTCAAGAAAATAGTGCAAACTATTTATTATTATTATATTTAATTCTTGAATAATATTGATTGCCTTTTATTGAGATTTATAAATCAATTCAAGATATCGAACATAATTTGATTAATTAACAAAATATGGATGCGAAACCCCCAAAGTTTTTTGTCTGCGCTCGCCCCTGAATTTCCACATCGCCTTCATTCGGCGGCTGTTTTAAAAGTTTTTCCCTGTTCTCACTGTTTTTCCCCGGATTTTCCTGCCGTTCCGTTCCGATTCGCTTTCCCCGATTTGTTTGTTTGCTTTGTGGCTGCGGCTGCGGCTCTCCGGTGGCAATTTATAAGCGCATGAATTGTTACTGCTCCCGAAAAAAAGTTTTTAATGCGACTTTCGCACGTTTTCCGGTGTCCCGGACACCGGAGACCCATAAGCTGTTTGCTGCAACAGCCGAGCGGCGAAAATGTTCGGAAGAGGATCCTGCCCGACGGCCGCTGGCTTTTGGCCCCAATGGGATAAACGCTGCCAGCACTTTCTTCGCATTCCGCCGCTTCTTTGCGACCCAAAGTGTCGAGTAATCCATTCGAAACTTGTTTATCGCTCGGGGATCCAGTGGCCGGCGATCTATTATTACTTTTTAACTGTGTTCCGGGTGGAAATGAAGGAAACATATACGGCACGAGAAGTTTTGACACGTGCTCCGAGAAAAATATCAACAAAAAGTTCAGAATTCCTTCAAGGATAAAGGAAATGTAATTTATGGCATCGGAAGTATACCCTTAAATGCAGAGCAACGAATCACATTAATTCTATTCTACTTGAGGAACCTATCCTTGAACTAAATTGTTTTGCCCGACCTTAAACTCAGCAGTGAGAAGAGCAGCCAGCCAAAAGTGAAACAAATTCCAAAAGTTCAGAAAAACAAATGCAATTTATTGCCGGCCAATCCAATTGCGGACTACTAAAATTGAGCATTCTCACAGCTTTGTGTACTCTACGACATGCATAAGCTGCATAATTCTTTTTCAATGTCACAATGAAAATGTCAGGCGAGTGGAAAATGGGAAATAGGAAACGGGAAATGGGGGAAAAGCAATCAGACTGCAGCCGCAAGTAGCCCAAGACCATTTGCCAAAGAGTATTTCTTTGATGTTTTCCATTTTCGCAACTACTCGAAAGTGCCACACACTATTTATATAGGATATAATCCCCTGCCGTTTCTCACCACCAGCAATTTCTCTCCAATTAATGACGTCTCTTATCCTGGTCTCCTTTATTCCTTCTCCGGTTCTTCATCTAATGTCTCCGCAGAACACGTCGTCGCTGAGCGGCTTAACCTACATCTGCTACATCATCGCGGCCCTAACGCAACTATTCCTCTACTGCTTCGGCGGCAATCACGTTAGCGAAAGTGTGAGTACGTCTCCTGACCATTTTCCCCGCTCTCCCGCCCTCATAACCCCCCCTCCTCCACTTGCAACGGATCTGCCCATTTCATTTCCATCACTCATTTGGTTCAGGATACTCTTGTGGGAAGCACTCGCGGATTATGAGTTTAAAACTTTGTTATGCTCGATTTTACAACGTGAAAATCTGATGGAAAAATATTCAACCTAATATTTGCCATAGAGAAAAAAATCAACAAAAATATTTTCGTAAATATTGATTTATTTATTTAATGCAGATAGTGAAAGGATAAGTTCGATCCACCAATAAAAATTAGATAACTTTTTCCGCAGAGTATTTCATCATTCGGCTTTTCCCGCTTTCGCTTTCCTTCACTTTCCTGTTATTAGTATTTTCTGTGTTTTTTTTACACAATTCCTGCAATTTCAATTTGACGCTAAACATTAAGCAGCCAGGCGGCCACATAAAAAATGATGTGCCATTCGCAAATTGCACTTGTGATAAAATTTTAATTACACAACAAAGTGGAGGGAAAGCTCCCGCACCCATACACCTCCCATCCCCCTTCGCCCGCTTCATTCATTTCCAGATCCAGAATCATAACCCATTCCACCGACGACTTTTCGCAGAGTGCTGCTGTGGCGGACGTGCTGTACGACATTGAGTGGTACAAATGCGATGCGAGGACTAGGAAAGTGATTTTAATGATATTGCGGCGTTCGCAGCGGGCAAAAACAATTGCGGTGCCGTTTTTTACGCCATCACTGCCGGCTCTTGGTTCAGTATGAGATGCGATGCGATGCGTTGATTATGATAATAAATGTTTATGTTACCGCTCCCCCCTCCTTATTTCAGATACTCAGCACAGCCGGCTCATATATCACGCTGCTGAAGACGTTTCTGTAAGCCTACGCGGCGTATGATTGATATACCGGATTGGGCCTTGTCCTTCGCTGTTTGTTTAAATTAAAACCTGCAACCGAACGGACATTAAATTGCCTGTGAATGAATGTGGTTGGCTAAGGGGTGGTAAGGGGGGGTGGGAAAGGGGGAGGAAAAAGAGCAACAAGTGCTGGCTGTCCTGGCCGTAATTGTTTCATTTAAATATCGCGCTGATCCCCTCGTGCGGATTCCAACTAATGAAAAACACTTGCGGCTATGGGCACATTAATTGGGTCAGCGGTGGGAAAAGCGGTTGGGAAAGCGGTTGGAAAAGCGCAGGGAAGTGCGGAGAGAGGATGGGCAAACAGCGTGGCGGAGACAGTAATGGCGTTTTTATGGCGCCATCTTGAGGTCTGTTGCGCTGTTTTGTTACAACAATATTTTCGTAATTCTTTTCCCCGCCAGAGCAGCAGCAAATATCAATTATAATTTGTGAAATTCGAGGCTGTTATGGTCGGTGAAGCTGCCACAAATGTTTGGCAATCTTCGGGCAAAATTATAACTGGCTTAGATGGATTTTATCTTTAAGGACTCCAAACGAATGCCCAGTTGGGTTTGCAGAAAAGTGACCAAAACCTCTCCGATTTCAAAAAGGCATTCCTGAAAAAATTTGTAGTTTAATTGTCTAGCAAACTGCATCATTAGTTTATTTTTTACTTTTTGGTCGATATTTCGCTTGAGTTAAAAACTCTTTAAACTGATTGCTTAATAGCATTTATCTAAGACTTCTATATAAAGTTCTTTGAGGACAAGCCCAACATATGCTACCAAAACTCACTTTGAACTACCAAGCGATCAGAATGCAATAGGAGGTCGCTACCCTTTTTTTTTAAGATTTTCGAATTGTTTTCAAAAGAATGCTACTCTTAAGATTTTCCGATTGAGAAAAATATGCTACAATTTAGATAGTTTTAGTTTATTTTACATTAATTTAGTATAACTATTCTGTAGGCTAATACTGTAAATTTTTGTCTTGTAAGTACGGAACTAAACAATATATTTAGAAAATTTATTATGGACTTAAAAGGATAATTTAAGAATCTGAAGGCCTTTTTAATTTGTTGAAATTCCTGCACAAAGCACAGCCATTTTCATTTAATCAAAAAACAATCTGATACGCGCTTACGTGGAAATTGTTTTATTTTTATTGAATAAATACATTCCACATATTTTGCCATTTGATTTTATCTTCAATACATTATCTGCATTTGGATTGTATGATTCGACGGCTTCCCCTTTCAAAGAGTTTCTAGTTTCGTTTTTGGTAAGTACTTACTGCAATTCGGAAAATTATTTGCCGCCAGTCAAAATGAAAAGCGCAGTCAATACTTCGTTTCAATTTATTGTTAAAGGAGTTCATTCCATTGATTTATTCATTCGGTTTGTCATCACATAAATTATCTAAAATCTGCTTACTGGCTTACGTGTAGTAAATTCATGCCTACCCATAGTTTACTCGCATGTGCAACACAAAACTTAGTCGGGCATGCCGCAATTGATTTAGTTTCGCAATTTGCTCTTCGCTTTCACATATTGCATTTCGCATTCGTTTTATTCAATTTTCATTCCCATTTCGACGTCGAGTGCCGCGTGACTAAATTTCACTTTGCCCATAAATAAATTCCATACAAGTTAGTGTTTATAATTAAGTTTTTTTTGCTTTTAGTTTATCAGATGAGAGCTTGTCGTTTGCGTTCATGTATATTACAATTTTCGGGTAGTAGCAATACGTTTTGTGGTGTGCGTACTTTTGTGGGTGAGTGGGTGAATGTGTGTGTTAGTGGGTGTGGGTGTGCGGCTCCCATCTCTTGTTATATTTTCCTTTCTTTTCGGTTAGCTTGGCTCTCTGTTAAGACAGCATGAAATGTTTATAAAGTCGACGCGTGTGCGGCTCCTTTGTGCGGAGCGGCAGTAATGAAATAAAATACACACTTTTGTATATGCAAGTATATCTGTAAGCAGCGCCGCATCTTTGTGGTATTTACAGAGAGTGTCATCCTTCTGGTCCTTAGTCCTATGTCCTTCGTCCTTCGTCCTTCGTCCTTCGTCCTGCGTCCTCCTCCATTCCTCTGGCCTTTGCAATTCACGTTCTGCATTTTGCATTGCCTCGCCCGGCTCAGTGTCTCATTTTGCACAATGAAATGTAAATATTAAAAGGAAAACAAACACTCGCCTGAAAGGGAAAGCGACTGTCTTGTTTGCCTTTCCCCGCTTTTTCATGTTTTTCCCCATTTCCCCTCGCCCGTTTTCCATTCCAGAATCCTAAAAAACGGCGCTCGGAAAAAACTGCCAGCGTCATGGAACATAATTTTCTCGTTCTGCTGCAATTAGAGTGCTAACAACTCTCGGTTTCAGTTGCCGGCAGCCAATACCGCTCGCAACAACAACAACTCCAGCAGCAGGACCAGCTGGAGCGGACCGGGGAATCGGGGGGCTCGGAGGGGGGAGGCGCCCCGCTCTTCTGCATCGCAGCGGGATTCTCATCTGGGGAAGACAAACAGTGGCATAATGAACATGTGTATTCAAATTTCGCCGAGGACACAGCCCCATTAGCCGAGCTAGGGCAAATAACTTAATTTAATTGTGACCTACACAGAGAGTAAAAGTGTGTTTGCTTAATACATTTCTAATCAGTCTTGCAGGAACTTAAATAGGTATGAATAGAAAATGTCTAAATAGTTCAGTTCTGAACTTAAAACCTATTCTAGAATTTCTAATGATATATGAGGTACCTATTATTAATATTTATGAAATGCAAAATACACATTAAATAGCTAATTTCTTGCTATGTATAGCTGGTTCTGACTTTGAAGTGGGGCATGCTGAATGGGAATCGGCTGGGAAGCTGGCTGCTTGTTTGTCCCGACTAGATAAATGACATATGTGTGTCTGCGTAGACGCAATATTTCTGCGGCCTTTCCCGCCCGAGCAAATGTTATTCCGGGCGCATCATTTGTCAATGCTTTGTTTTGACTCGTCGCAAAGGCTACATATAGGCCACGCCCCCCGCCTCCACGCACAGATTTTTAAGGACCCATAAGTTGGGTTTGGGGTTGGGGTCGGGCGACATGAGTAATGGGTGGAATGTGCTCTGCGTGGAAAGGGTATCGGGGGTCTATAAATAAGTTGCGAAATTGGATTTCCATTTCTGTTAAATCATTTTTATCGTTCTCAAAAGGGAGTGGAAAGTGGCAAGAATAATTGAAGCTTTGGTAGAGATTTAAATACTGCCTATAAAGTTGGAAATAATTTCTGGAATTTCCAGTAACTACTTAGGTTACTTGTGAGCTATTAAATTGTTATAGAAATCCATCCAAAGATCTCCCCGTAGAGCATTTCCCAGGTCGCCATCACATCGCGTAGACCAACACTTCGCTCTTATCATTTTTCTTAAAATTTTATTGCCCTTGATTTATTATCTGTATTTGTGCAAGCCGTCAGAGTCCCAGTCGCAGTCACAGTGGCTCCTCCACGCCACGGATCCTCCGCTATCTGGGCTCCCACTGCCAGGCCAACTCGCGCCCTTTGTGCCACATGTGGGGCATGATTAAGTGCCTTTTTGCAACTTACTTCTGACATTTAATCATATTTATTACGGCTCTGCATCGGCGGCGAGTCGAGTGCCTCGTGGCAGAGCAGCCAGTTGCTCTTTAAAATGCAAATTCCCGTCCGTACAACGTTTTCATTTGAATAAACAACTTAACAACTTAAGTGCTGGACATTTCGCTTAACATTTGATACGGCATAAAAACTAAGACTACAAGCCAAATGGCTGGGCCTTCAATTTGCTGCGAATGTCCTGCCATAAAAGGCCGCAAAAAACAGTGGAAATTGCCGGACAAAAGACGCGTCAAGTTTATGCCCCTCATTTCGCAGCTTAAAACGTCTTAATTCCCGTCTAATTTATGTGTAAAATATGCAAAGCCAAGTCACTGAGTTGTGCTCCTCCGGCCGCATTACTCATACGCCAAGTTGGCCGGGCCGCAGAACTCCCAAACAAACACAGTCGTCCAAATGATGGAGTGGGGCAAGAACTTGTAGTTTTTGGGCCACGTCTATGAACGAATGGCTTTGGATACAGTGCTGGCCATAAAATTATTCACTTCTCTGCGCCTCAGAGAAGGACTGTGCGTAATGATAGTTGGCTTTCGGGAGTCAACTGCTCGTGGGGCATCAACTTCTCCTGCTTTTGGCTCTGGCACTTGGAATTCCAGCTGCCGGGGTAACAGATAGGCTTATGCAGACCTGCAAGCACCTGAGACGGAAGCCAAATGCTGGATGCACTCGAAGAAAATAGGTAAGGGAATAACGGAAGAAGGTTTCCATACTTAATCCATAAATAAAACTAGAAATCATTATAAGAGCAAATTAATATTCATTTTGGAAAAACTATAAGAGTAATTAATAGTTTTCCAGTAATTAAATAAATCTAAACAAATATAAAAGCTAATAGTTTTGACCTAATTAAAAATAGATACTTATGGATCCTAATCTACATTTAACAATCTATATACTGAGGGAAATTGAAGGAAATTCTTTTTGTTTCAATGTAAGCCTGGGCTAATTTGGTCTGCGTGTGTAGTGGGCAACATTCGCTGGCTCACTCCCAGGACTCACCATTAATCACATGGACGAGGACACTGGCGCTGCTGGCCGTCGTGGGCTGACACGTGTAGTTGCCGGTGTCCGTGGTCTGGGCATTCGAGATGCGGAGCCTGCGGAGGATTAGGAGGCCGGGTGCGAACAACTCAATTACGGACATAAAGGGGTTAAAAGTGGGAGGACCCACCTGGACTTGAGGGTATCGCCCAGCTGCGACTCCATGGCGATGCGCGTGGCGAACTCTTTCTGCAGGTCCACCTCGCTCATCAGGTCGTTGGGGGAGGACGGGTCCTCGGGCGTCCTTGCGGGTGGCTCCTCCGGCTGGCCGTCGTCGGCGTCGAAGGGCGTGATCATGTGCTCGCCGCGGTACCAGTAAATCGGGCCAATGTCCTTCACCGACGGCTGCTGCACCAGACAGTTGAGGATGATGGCGCTGCCCGCCTTGAAGTGCAGATCCGGCGGGCCACTGATGACCGCCTTGGCGTCCGGAGATATTTCTGGGGGAAGGTTAAAGATGAACACACAAATGAAATGAAAACACGCATCCGAGGTGGGAAACCGAAATCAATTTGGGGCAATCGCTCGTAAAACGAATTCGCAACCAACTGGATGCACATAAAAACTTTTAATCATAAAACTTTATGGAATAACTTTTCAATTGCACTAAATTTAAGTAAGCCCGGTGGAAAGGCCATAAAGGGGGCGGCAAAATCGGGGGGCTGGGAAAATCACACCAGACACGTAAGCAAACTTATATGACTGTGTGTGAACGAACACACACATCCGCATCCATATGGAAAGTCACATACGTGGCTGCTGCGAAACTGGGTTAATAATAAGATTTATTATGCATTGGACTGTGCAAATAATAATAATTAAAAAATATAACCAAAAACTGGAGACACGCGTGGCCAAAATGAAATAAAAACCCAGTCGCGGAACAGTGGTTTCGAATTTAGATTTGAGTTGTTAAGGTACAGAAATGTTATGTACTGAAGTATACGGTTAGCTTGTTACTTATTAATAAACACATTAGTATTCGAATCACATTTACTTCGTTACCATATATATTGAATATTTTTGTATATTAAAAATATTATATAATCCAAATTAAAAAGGTTACGCGATTCCTGCTTCTCTGATCCACTGTGCCACAGGCGTTGGCTGGAGCAGCTCATAAAAGTGCATATGATGATGATTACATGGCTCGCAGGATGCTCAGGGGTAACCCACGAATGGAGAAGGGTCAGGGGGTTGGAGGAGAGGTTAAGGGGGTTTCAGGGGGTTTCGGAGATTCCAGGGGTTAAAGCGTCTGCTGGAGATCCGCTGCAATCCGCGTTGCACTCCCCGTTTCTCGCTGGCTTTTTCCGTCTGTTTGTTTGCGTCTGTGGCATATGTGCAAAGTGTGAGTTAAAAAATCCCATTGCGCCATTAAGTGCGTATGTATTTGTATCTGCTTCTGGCCAAAACCCCCCTCCCCCTTCCAGACACGCCCACTTTTTCGAGAGTGTTTGTGCAGTGTCACTGCGTTAAAGGCAATTAACACCCGGCTGAGGGGAGGAAAAAGGAAAACCAAAAGAGAGAGACGGAGACAGGCAGCTGCAGCAACAATTTTCCCCCATTCCACTGTTTTTCATTTCGTTTCGTTTCATTTCAGATTTTCATTTTTCCTTCATTTTTCAGCAGCTGTCGCTAAAGTTCTGCGTGCATTTTGTGTGGCGGCGCATGAAGTTTTTTAATTTAAATATTTCATGAAAATAAAACAATATGCAATGTGACCTGCGAGCAATAACAAAAAGAGTGGAGCTGCGCAAAACGTGTTTTCCTTTCTAAGGTCAACTGTTTGTAATTACCGCTTAGAAGGGCGTAAAAACCGAAACGGAATCAAGGCAATAGTTAAATTAAATTCGTGGTGAGATTGCAGCACGCGCAAAAAAGTATGCTATAAAAATAAAACTGTTTATAAGCCAAAGGAAATGCAGTGGAAAATGCAAACCTTTAATGGAGCGAAACTTGTGAAAATCGTAGGCAAAATTGCTGAACTAAAAATTAGTTTGCTGTGTACGTTGTTGCGTGTCCAAATTAAGTGAACATAATATTCAGAAGAACAAAGAGAACAATGTTGCTTTTTGAAAGCTCTTCTTTTATTTCGCGCCACAAAGGCATAAAAAATACTTTACGCAATGCGCAATTTTTTCTCCTTTTTTTTAAGGATTAAACAATCAATTTCGCCGCTAATTGCTGTTGAAATATGGCATATATTTTTCTTAAAATATACGCGCATAAATTCAACCTTTTAATGTGTCATCTTAGGGCATACTTTATGCATATTTATTTTGAATATTTCACGGACCCCTGGTGGACGAACCGCCCCGGGCAAAATTTATATCAGGCATAAATCTTTTTTGTGGAAAAAGATGCGAAAAACTGCGTTACGTTGAGGGAAAAATAAAATCGTTTGGGTGGGACGCATAAATTTACATAATGACATTAATTAAATGCAATGCACCGCAACAGCGAGCAAAGGAGCTGCAGGAACACAGGAGCGGAAAATAAAAGTAAAAAACGACGCGGCGGGCGAAGAGTTAAGCGCCTTGCGAAAGTCACTCATACGACACGTATGCCGATAATGTTATTAAGGACGCCGCCAGTTTGCCAGTATGCCAGCCTGTCACCAGTGGCCACTGTCCACTGTTCACCGTCCGCTGTCCACTGTCCGTTGTTCACCGTCCACTGTCCACTCGACTGCTGTCAGGCTCCTTTGGAAATTGTTTCATTAACGTAAATTAAAATGCATACGGCCATGAAGAAAATGTAATCGGAAATTCGTTTGTAAGCGTCAGAGCAGGAAATCAGGAAAGGGGCAAGCGGAAAATAAAGCACCCTGACTGACAAACAGACAGACAGACTAACAGACAGACAAAAATGCATCGCGCCCAAGTGCATAATCGGAAACTTAAAAAGGCATCGCCGACTGATTTGCATAAGTGGCTGACAGCAGATGCCGACAGGACCTGTCAGCAGCTCGGCTCTGGGTTGTCCTTTATTACTTCTTCGGCCCCTCGACACTCTTAAATCCACCGCACCATCGCACTTGTCGCCTTGTCGCGCCGGTGGTTTAAAGTCCAAACAACTTCCGATTTAATGGCACATTCTTGAGCTCTAAAGTTCCTTGGCAGCCCATCAAAATCAATATGCAAATTGATTGTTTTTTAAACGGATTGAGATTACGAATTAACGCCGATACAATGAGGCAATCAGGAGATCAAGGGAATTCCATTATGTGCAGGTATTAAGGAAGGGAGGGTTTCGTTTTCAATTTTATCATAAGACAAACGTCTTTGAAGGGAAGTAGGGGTAGCACTCAATAAAATGGTTACTTCAAAGTAATTTATGATTTCCCTTTTACAAAATAATGAACTGTGATGATTTGAAATGGGAAATGTTAACTGATTAAAATGATAATCGTTTGCTATTTAAATAGGGTGAATGTTTCACCCAAAAATAAGATGCAACTTGAATATCCTTAGTGAATATAAATTAACTAATTAGGAAGACCGCCTTTCAGTCGCAATCTGGTAAAGATCCTGGCACCCAGTTTGTCATTCCGCAACAAGGCCATCATCAATTAATCATTACTGGTGGATTTGGGAGTCACTAGCGCAGACAATAGACATTGTATTCGATTCTTGGGACACGGAAGGCCAAAGCCGAAGCGAACGGGTGACGCACTGCCAGCTAATTATATGCGGACACACGCATTATGCATGGCTCATTAAAGCGCTGAATACATTTCCAATCGGTGGCCGTAATCCCGCCGGGTTGACATGCTAATTAGCTCAGCGGCTCCGGCGGCATGTAAGCCCGGAACCCGGGGCCAAAAACCCAGTGCCAGGACCTCGCTTTTCATTTGTTTATTTATTTATGACCCGAAATGCGAAATTAAAAATGTATGCCTAGAGGCGGTCGAACCGAAACTGAAGAAGAACGTAAATCGGTCCGGGGATGCGGATTCCGGACGGCATATACTATACATAATTGCGACCTGAGGAGCTCCCGCTGAAAACCGAATTAACATTTTTAATAAAGCCAGCGGCTACTGGGTAAACAGCAGGCGGGCAGGCAGGCAGGCCAAAGAAAAGCAAACACAGCAGCAATAATCATCGCAATAAAGGAAATTCATTTAGGGATCCGCCCACTCACCGATGATGTTCAGCTGAAAGGCCATGGACATTTTGGGCTCCGTGTTCACCTGGCACTCGTAGATGCCGCTGTCCTTCGCCAGCGGCGACTTCACGTGCAGCGTCCACTCCCTGGAGTCCTTCGATTCGGTCACCTGTCGAGAAAACAATTTCAGTTTCACTATATAGTTTACAGATTCCAGTTTGCAGTTTACAGATTTCAGTTTTCATTATTCGTCTGATGGACGGACTTTCAATTCAATTCGCTCTGTCAGTCTCGGCGGAATAATTATTCGCTTTCACGGCAACAATTGCAAGGCTGCAATTTTGTATTTCCATTCAATTGTGTTTTTATTTTCCATGGAAATTAAGCAATTATACAATTGAATGTTTGTTCGTTTGTTTGTTTGTTTGTTTGTTTGTTTGCTGGCTGGTTTGCAGCTCAGTGGGCTCAAGAGGGGCAGTGGCTGGATGGCTCTGAGTTATGAGTTGGATTAGCCACTGAAATATCGTTTATGCATGCATAATGAAAGTGGCCTTATGGCCATAATTCCCCCTGAGAGAGACGCACGGAGTTGACTTTTACATTGTGGCCGATACTTTATCGGGATTTGTGTTGTGTTTTGTTTGCAGCTAATCTGCGGCTGGATCTGGGGATTTCGTTTGGTTTATTGGTTTAGATTTGCAGGTTGTTCACCTTTTTTTGGATGCTTGTTGTGGTAAACTAACCTGACAGATTTCGGATTTGCTCTGGGATTTCAGTTAAATACTATGTGCACTTAAAACATTTAGAGAATGAATAACTAAATATTTTATTGTAAATATTGTTTAATAAATATCTACTATCACCATCTGTTAACTTTGCCTAACGAAAACCCACTTAATTCGTTCCTCTTTAACTTAAGACTCCTTTTAGCTGCGTATTTCTTTCTCCGCAAGTGGAAATCTTTGGGAAAATTCCCCCCATTCAGAAATTAACCCACTGAAGTCCCAGGGCTGCCTCGGCCATCGCATTCAATTAGTAAGCGAATACGGGATGGACCCACCTGGAATCGCTTGTCCGAGGTGTAGGTGGCGGTGCCGACGGTCAGGATATGCAGATCACGTTTCCGTATCCAGGATACCTGTTGAGCGGAGGAAGCGGCAATACGAGGAAAGCGGGGAAAGCGTGGAAAGCGGGGAAAGCGGAAAAGAGCGGGAGAAGACAGAAATTTGATTAACGAGTGCACATCCACATGATATACTCGATGTCCTTGGCACGCATCTTCATCACTGTTTCCCCCAAGAGGAGCTGGTTGGCTCCTTGGACTCACCGATTTGTCATGGAGACTGTCCACGCGGCATTTAATTATGGCCTCCGTGTGGCCAGTGCGTCCGGTGATGTTGCGCGGCATGCCAAAGTCGAAAATTGGCAACGACTGCGCGGAGTCCTGCCCCAGTTCCCCCTCCATCTCCCTCTCTCTCTCCCTCTCCCTTTCCCTCTCCGTGTCCGATTGGGCAAAGAGATCGGAGCCAAAGGACGCGTCCAGGAAGGCTAAACTCTTGAAAGTGTGATTCGTGGCTTCCGTTTGTGGCCCGTTGGCCGCCGCAAACGTTGAATAACTGGATGGCGATGCTGCCGCCGCCGCTGCCGCTGATGGCGACGCTGATGGTGATGATGACAGGAATGTCGACAGGGTTGGGCCATCATCGCCGGAGTCATCCGGTTGCCCAGTGGACGCAGCCGCAGCACCAGCAGCCATTCCTGCAAAATATAACAAAGGAACTGGGTGAGCACGCGGTTCGCAAACAGGAAACGGATGAAATGCACTCGCAAAAACACATAGCTACACAAATATTTATTCACGAGAAAAGTATAATGTATTCAAAGATGCCCAAAGAAAATAAAAGCCCCATAAATATACAAGTTTCCCAGACTTTCTTCTATCCATTTATATTTTCTTAAATAGACAATCCTTTTTTTTCCCGTCTGTAAGAAATGTTTGGCTCCTTGTTCTTGTTGGCCAAATGAATTTATAACTCGGTCGGGCTCCCCCCCTCTGGGCATTCATCATGCTGGGTCTTTTGATTTGATTTGTAACCACTTTGGCCACAACTTTTTGCTTCCCCTCGACGACCGACCGACCGACCGACCACAAAGTAACTTCAATTCAATTCACTTTCATCCTTGCTGCCGCCCGCAAATCGCACAATTTAAGCAAATAAATTCCGTTCTGGCTTAAAGCTGCGGGCCGCGCACAATTTGCATTTAATTTATTAGCGCTCCGCATTTTTATTCCGCCACTGCATATGTGCACAAATATTTTGCATATCAATTCAGCTTTACATTTTCCGCGGCGACAATTTAAGCATCGTATCCGAAGAGCCAAAGTGACAAATTCAATTTGCTGGCAGCAAAACAATAAAGGGAACAAAAATGCAAAATGGAAAATGGGAAAAATAAAATAATGTGCAACAAGCTACAAATAAAGTCAAAACGAAATATTAAGCATCCGCCATGTTGTCTCGACAGCAGCGACAGCAAATATTTGCAAATATGCCAACTAAAAAAACAAGGCAAAAAAAATTACTTTTAAATTCAAATCAACAGGGAATTTGATGTGGACGACGATGACGGTCGAGGGGAAAAGTGGGGGAAAATCGTGGGGGAGGGGGAGAGGGAAAATGCCCAGCTGAGAGCAGGGAAATTGGGGATATTGGATTGAGTTTGAAGTTGGCTATAAAGTTAAATAGAATTTTTCACGACATCCGCGGGGGGTTTCAGGCAGGAACACTTCGCGTATATTCAATAACTGGTTTTCGGGAAATGGATTTCCAATTTTTGTAACCTTTAAAGAACTTCAATCGAAAATCTATTTTGAAGGGGATTTTTATTCAGCAACAAAAACCTTGACCTTCTTTAAATTATTTCTCTCATTTTGATTTCAATTTTCTCGGAAATTCCTAGCCTATTACAATGTAATGGATATTCTCATTTGTCCGATCATAAAAATGTTCCTTTTACTTGCGCACATTCCCATAAATTTAGTAGAGAAGGAATTTTGCCACAGATTACACGACCAGCTGCAGCTCCTTTAATCTTGTTTCTATTTTCACATAATTTTCAGTCAATTCCTGGGATTATCCACCCTCGACATCCCTCGGCCTCCTGCGACCTTCTAGGGTATCCTGGCATTCGTGGACTGAATTCGGCCGCCGAACCCATGTTATATGCGTACACTCGAACGGAGGGGGCTCTGGCAAACAAACTTTTTATTTTGCTGCGACCTACTTAAAGGCTCCTCAGTACCTCCCCCATCGGACCGAAAAATCCCCGACATTGGATGCCGACTGTGAGTCGTCTGGGTTCACCACATGAGGTCATGGAAATGCTTTCCGTTTGTTGTTTTTCTTTATGCGCTGCTGTAAAGTAAAGTAGCAAATTTGTATTTTATTGTTTGTCGCCAGCAAGAAAGCGTGTACAAACAAACAAAAAGAGAACCTAAAAATCTGCGTCTGCCAACGCTGCGAATGAGTGATTCTCCCCCCGCTGCCAGCAAGTGGAATTTTTCCAGCAAAATGCTCAAAGGAAAAGTCGCTGGATGAACGAATATTTTAGGGAAATTCCCAGACATCTTCCCCGCCAGCTGCAGTCGCTGTGCCAGCTGGGAAAGCGATTTTCCATCATTACCATCAATAACTTCATCATTGGCATGCCATTTCCACGCTTTTCCCAGAACGCTTCAAAGTTGGGCGATTCGGCCACAAAAACTGTGCAACTTGCTAAACAAATTTAAGCAAATAAAAGAGCAGGGAGTTCGGTTGTTTTGTGTGTGTGTTTTTTTCGGGTAGATTTTTTCACTAAGCCGCAAAGCTTTTTTGAGTATTTCCTTTACCAAATTCTTTTTTCGTGCCTATTTCTGCGGAGGGGAAATCCCCCTGCAACAAAACCCGAAACTGATTTCGCAGTGCAGCCAAAGGCGGCTGAAAGTTGGTCGCCGCGTTTTGTGTTTTTGGCCAGTGTTTGCTGTAGGTCGCGGCACGCCCCCTTTTCCGCGACCCGCCCCTTTCAACAGCTTCCGGACTCCCCTTCTCCCGATGATCCTGCCCCACCAGTTCTTGCCAAAAACATACACACAAACGCACACATCTGCCACAAGTGTTTCGGCGAAATATTCGTGCTGCGCCTGCAGCGATTCGTGTGCATTTGGCAAAGCACTTAAAATGACAAAAATAACAGCAAAACACTAGACAAGCGAGGCGAACAAAGGCGCAGACCGGAGGAGGAGGAGGATCCTGTCAAACATTTGGCTGCGCAATCCTTTCCACTGCGGCATCTGGTTGGGGTTGGGGTTGGTGTTGGGGTTGGTGTTGGGGTTTCGGGTTTACGGCTCTTTGAAGCTGCAGATTTCGGAGGGGTTTGGTTTTAATGAAGCCAGTCGATGCAATTAAAGCCACTGTTAAACGGAGATATGGTTGGTTAACTCCAAGTTCTATTTAATTAACAGTGGGGGATTATTCCAAAGAATAGTGGTTAATAAAATACTAAATCAAATGGTACATAACATAGCTAACAAGATTGCAAATAAACTAGTTAATAAAATAGTAAACAAAATAAACAAAAATTTGCATATTCTGCATTCCGATTTATTGCTTTTATTTTAAGCAAAATGTATCCCCTAGACGAACCCTTTCAGGACACTATTTGCGATACAAATTCTGTATTCCCCCGCTGACAGCTTGTTCTATTTAAAGAGTCGAGTGCGGAGGCAAACGAAAAACGTCGCCTTATGTCAAGTCTCCGAATCGAGTTGGCAGCTCCGGGGTTTCGGGGGTCAAAGGTCGGGGTATGAGGGAAAAACAAGGGAATAAATTGAAATGGCAGGCAATTGAAAACTACCCACGGATTTGTCAGAATCTGTCTGGCTTAGCGTGGCATAAGCATATCCCATTTTCGGATATGAAAACGTGGAGAAGCGCTGTGCTGACAGGCGAGCGGAAGATGTCCTTTAAGCCGAGCCAAATGTCGGGATACAAGAAACAAGACAGGGTTCAATAAACGCTCCCCCGGATCCAAGTTCCAACTGCCGCCTGCTGGTGCCCAGAAATCTGATTATTTATGAAGTGCCTCAGCCGGGTGCTCGCTCGGCACTCCCAACGGAGTGGCAAGTGTCTATAAAAATAGCAAAACACCAGACGAATTATAATGAGTCCGGAGCTCGGGACTCGGGACTCAGGACTCGCAACTGAACTCACGTTGCGAAGGACTCACGTGGTAGAGGTGGCAGGACCTCCAATCCTGGCCGCTCATTGTCGTCGTTAACACTCGTGTAATGTCGGCCATAAAGACCCGCTCCGTCGCCTTCTGCAATTAAAGGCGGGCGCCAAAAGAGGGGGCGTGGTAGAGGGGCATCGGGGGAGATTTACATAATGCCGAACAATATGGCCGAGGATGGCAACTATTTTTACATGCCCATAATTTGATGACGACAATGTCTTGGCATAACAATGAGATGCGACTCCGAGGCTCATGTAAATTTCATTTCGCCGACTTTAAGGATCAGCTCTGCTTTCCACAAACCCACACATACACAGGCACACACACATATACACAATCGGAAACACACACGTGTTTGGGGTTTTTCACAGGCCAGATTTCGCTTTTGCTTCCTTTTTCCGATTTCACTCTATTTTCCTCTGGGCGGCGAGCGGATTTGTTTCGTGTGTGAAATCGAGCGTGAATGTTCAACGTAAATAAAATTCAATTTGGCATTTTCCTTTTAACTCAATTTATGTGTCAAGTGAAAGTGGATTTGGCTCGGACAAACACTGTGTGTCCCGTATCAAAGTTATAAATGAATTTACAGCCAGCCCTCCTCGATCCTCCTCTATTGCCGCACAAAATTAATAGCGTTTGTGCTGGCGGATTGATTGAATTAACCCGGCCAACAATAATATTTCAGAAAAAGGCTGAAGCCATGTCGCCGCCACTAAAAAATAGCTCTGTTGAAATGTCGTTTAATTGATGCAATTTGACGGTTACAATTTACCAAAAAAGGGTCGATTACCCGCCACTCAGGTGAACATATTTAATGCATTTACTCCGAACACCGGGGTAGAAATTTGAGCGCTGTTAATAACTTGATCTTGCGTTTGAACTGTTTTTCATTCAGTTTAACACATGAACGCACAAGTGCGTGCTGCGTGTCAATTGGCTGAAAGTTTATTAAATAACATTTAATTGAGGCAACATCGAGGTTGAACCCGATCTGCCAGGAGCCACAGCCAATTTTAAAAACGTGACAGATCAGCATGGAAATGGTAAAGAATTTAAAAGGGGCTTAAATACACTGCTGACCAATATCTTTTTTTAAATAGGTAAATTGGCTTAATAAACAACATCTTATTTGAAAAACTGTAGTGCCAAATGAGTTTTTGTTCCCCAAATAAAGTCACCATCAACTCGCTGAAGCCACTGAAATTCGAAAGGAATTCGGAACTTGAATCTCATAATTTCTGTTAAAAGTCAACCACAGTTCCTTGGGGCTGAATAATCAAAGAGCAAATTCTTTTCCAATTTAGCTAAAGCTATCCGATCCAGACCGAATCGTAACCGTAATTGAGTCTTCGCCGGTTCGTTCCGTATGCAAGCGCAAATCGAAACAAATGCTCCAAATAGTTCCCCAAAGAATCGATTTCGGAAAGATGGCTCGAAACATTTTTGTGGCCAATGCTGACACACATATACACACAGAAAGACACACA